ATTTTTTGTTCACAAATTCTTTAGCTTTTCCAAAACCTGTGACAGTCTGGAAAACGAGGATCCGTCTCGTGAGTCGTGATACTTTTTAATATTGTACTACTCAGGCTACATTTTATTGTGTGTTTCAACCATACAATCATATTGACCATAACTATGGATGACATCAAGTACAATAATAAACAAGGAAAATGAATAATAATAATAATAATAATAATAAAAAAAAACAGGGTACAGAGGCAAACTATCAAATTAAATAATATTAACTAAGTCCTTATAAAGTTTCACAGTTTTAACACTTTTTTTTTTGCAGTAAACATTGTGTAAATGTAATGTAGTAATAAACAAATTAAGTCCCAAAGACTTAGGCAACTTAGGTATAATAAAGAACATTTACATTTGTGAATATAATATTTACCCAATAAAATAAATAAATTGGCCATAGATTCTGTTATGTTTGTCACGAGAAAAGTAACAAATTACATCACACATGGAAAAATCAACGTTAAACTTACATTTTGATAAAAATAGACGGATAAATCAGACCAAAACACATTTGTGTGAGCAGCATTCGACAAAAAGAATCGATTCGATTCTTAAGTTACAGAAGACACATTTTGAATAAGGATTACCGAATTTAAATACCATCTCATTTATGGGGTAGTACTCAGGCTACATAGTCACACAAAGGCTGACACTACTACGCAGTGAAGAAAATATTAATATTTATCAAGGTAGTAATAATGTACAGTAAGTGTCTTGCACAATACCGTTTTGTTTCATAAGGTCTGAATGTATCATACGGAGCCACAGGTAGAGCCATTATTTTACTCATATTATTTTACATTATTTTTGTGCTGGTTGGTGTTGCCTTGGCAGTTTATTAATTGCAATTCCTGCTAAGAAGCCCTACAAAAGACAGAAATCACCTTAAAAGACCTGAGGGTGAATAAATTAGCAGCATTTTTTTCATTTATAGCTAACCTAACCCTTTAAAATCACATTTAAAACACATCTACACTGATGCTAGCTAGAGCGCAATAAAAGATGCTGATATGTAGTAACTGACACATCTTGCTTAGAGCAATTTTACTTCTCCCGTTTTAGACTTTAGCTCTCTCATGGTGGCGGTGCTGACTTATTCTATTCTAGTCCCATGATGTCACTTGTTTTGACTCTGTTTTGGCTGAGATATGGTTGAATGGGGCTCCCGTGCTCTTTAGCGCAAGCCCATAAAATGCTAACAGCAGGAGTCAGAACAAAGACCGTCTATATTTACCTTCGCAGAAAGTGCTGCATCAAGCTGTAGATGTACAGGTTGTGGTGCGCCTTACAGCAGAATTAAACAGAGTGTGAGAAGGAAATTCAGCTCTTTTGAGGACCACATTGAGAAAGTGCTGGAATGATAACTGCTGCAGAGACAGCTGTAGCTCCATGTGGCACTGAAGACTAAAAGAATATTGAAAAATCAATTTAGGAGAGCGGGTCCTAGGGGTCTGGAGATGTCAGTTTTCCACAGAATAAGCCGAAGGCCTTTGAGGCTGATGAAATAGAGGATTCTTCTCTTCTACAAAGAGGACATAACAGTTGGTCTTTCTGAATACAGATCGAGAAGTAACCATGTACTGTAGGACTTTCTCAACAAGCTAACTGGCTTTTGGATTATAGGATTATACTGCCACCTACAGGTTATGGAATGCATCTTTCGATGAGGACGCTAGAGCAAGTGTGGACATTTTTATGCCCATGTCTATTAATTCTCGGGACCATTTATTCAATTAACAGCACATTTAAATGTAAGCCTTACTTAAACCAACATCAGACTATAAAGAAATAGCCAATTTGAACCATATCCCACAAGAATGATTTAATGTCAGAATGAAATGGAACAAATACTTGATTGTGGAGGGGAGGAAAGCTGTAGTGGGTATACAGTATTGCAATAGATAAGGTTGTTACGTGGAATGAAACAAAAATACTGTTGCTTTATTGCAAAAATAAGGCTTTTCTTACTTCTGTCTCTTCTCTAGTCCAAATATTTATTAAATCAAGACACATTTACTAGACAAGCAAAATATATAGTCTTGTTTTAAGGGAATAACATGCCAAAATAATATTGTTTTTCATTTTGACATGCGATTATTGTGCTTGCTTAACCCTTGTGCACTGTTCAAATTTACTTCTCTTTTATGTTAGGGATGAAAACATTCACTTAATTAAACTACTGCAAAAAAAAAAAAAAAACTGCATCAGATTAATATTTTGTTTTTCAATTTTTTTTTGCATAAATCTGTTAATCAAGCTCAGTCCTGATCAAAGCTACTAAATTGCTTAGAAGATGACAGTATTATAACTCTTTAATTGCAAAACTCATAAATGATGTCACTGATTTAGTGATAAAAACACAAAACACAAAAACACAAAATTACATATTTTCAATATAAAAGGTAATTGTGGACTGGACCTTTTTTCCTTTTATCACAGTCTTGCACATGTGAATGATTACTAACAACATTGGCTTTGATGCATTGCAAGATTTTCATTTTTTCCTCTGTAATTTACTGTTGGTGCCGTTTTTTCTCCATTGACTTCCATTATAAAAACATTTGGTGGTGCATAAATACAGTCTTTGTTTTTATTTACTCCATGTAGTTCTGAGAGCTGAGTTGCAAATTTAGATTTTCTCAGACACATTCAGGTAAGTGCTCAAAGGTCACCCTCACACACTCACAGACATACATACACACACTTTAATGTGTTTTTTTACTCCATATAAAATCCAGAAAGTAATCCTTTTTTTTTTTTCTTTTTTTTTTGCAGAGGCCTATCTAAAGGGTTCATGGTGCCAACTGATGCTCAACAGTAAAAATGACAAATTGTACCTCTTCCCAACAGGGAAAACCACCAACAATCAAAAATGCAGGATTAAATGCTGTCATGGTTTTCCAATCAAAAAAATGGGGTTATAATTGGTCAATGGGGCAAAACCAGCCACCAACAGAAAATTAGGGAGAAAAAATTAAAATCAATAAAAGACAAAGGCAACGTTGTCCAAAAGTTTTGTATAAGGTATTTGTATAAAAAAAGGTGTATTGTTGAGTTGAAAAAAAAAAATCTAAGCATTTTCCCAAAATATGATTTGTCTCCAAAAATCATTCTGCTAGCTGAAACAGAGAAAGTTATGGCCAAATTTAGACTCAAAATCACCCCAGAGTGGATGAAAAAGTGTTAAAAAAACTGACTTAATTCTGGCATATTATTTCTTAAAACAAGAAAATTAGTTTATTGTTAAAAACAAGACAAAAAAAATCTAAGTAAGAAAAGCATTTTTGTCAGTGTTTACTGAAAACAAAATACAAAACTCATCCTAACATTGAGCTTGAGAATTATCAAGTAAGCATGAAGCCTATAACCTCATATAGAAAAAGTGTTTACTACAAAACAGGCATAGAGCCATTGATGTAGTGATATTATTTAGAGTCATATATAGTGAATAAGATTTCATGTGGTTCAATTTTCTTTGTTCTTTTGCATGCAGATTGGAAAGTGCTAAACAAAAGGTAAGTGCTACTGTAGTCAACGCTATTTTTACAGCAGTTTCTTAATGTGATGTTATCAGATACAAACATGATTGCATTAATATTGTAATTGACTTTATTATACTTTAAAAAATGATGTTGTTATTTGATGTCACACTTTTAAAATGTGACAGTAGGACATTTAGGAGCAGAGAACAGTTCTTGCAGTAGAAACCAAACACATTCTATTTTGTATGTGTATTGCAAAAAAAATCAGTTTTACAAAAGTGGAAATCTGATGCTGTTCCCACCTTTGAAATGTGGGCAAGAAAACTTGGAAATGTAACACTGAGATTCACACTAAATGACAAATTGTCGATTTTTAACAAGATTTGGGAACCATTCATATTATTTTTGTAGATAGACTGAACTGATGGACTTTTACAAGACAATTGTATGCTAATTTATTTATTTACCTTATTTCATTATTTATTTTATAATCATCTTATAATTGTTTTATGTCTTTTGAGGTTTCATTGTCCATGTACACCATGCTTCAATTAAAAATTTTTGTCCCAGCCAGATCCATATATGATTGTAAATGTTATTTATATATATATATATATATATATATATATATATATATATATATATATATATATATATATATATATATATGCCTTGTATTTTATTTTTTATGAACCTTCCACAAATATTTTAATCAATGTTAGATGGGTGGGGTAGGTGGCAGGGTTTTGAGTTTCTTTATGTACAGTAGTAAGTTAAATTCACTGTAAGTACTTCCAAAAGAATTTTGACATATGGTATATCTCTTTGTAATGAAGTAGCATATTGTAGGCAGTACTGTATGAAATGTATAAAGTTTTTCAATGAAAATCTAAATAGAGTTTTAAAAAAAATGTGACAAGCACAATTCATTTGAACAGTTAAACTAGCTGAAAAGCTAGCGAGCTAGTTAGCATTTTGCTTGAGTGATTGGGAACGTTTCCAGACCCTACCTGTTTCCAATTACCCAAGCAAAATGCTAAGCTATTACCTTGTCACGATGTTGTGAATGGAAGAGAAATTTTGAGAAACACTGTGCTAGAGACAAAGCAACAGTAATCAGTAGCCACTAAAAGCCATTAACTAGAAAATTTCCAAGTTTGTTTTTTTGAGGGATGTGCAGTGCATTAGAGACAATGGAGAAAGTAAGCAGGCACCAGAAATCCTATCATTTATTAAAAAGTTATTAAATGTATATACATTTGTTTTATTTATATCATCTACAGCAGCTTAGCAATTTAGCAAACACACCACTTGATGAACTTCAAAATTATCTTTAAATTATTTGTTCAGTGCTACTAAACTGACGTTTTTAACATGGACACATTGTTGCACTTAAGGTAATTTTATCACATGAGAATCTCTGTGAAAAAATACCTGCTAATGCCCTGAGCTGTGTTAATTTCTGCACGGTTCCCATTAAGCCAAGGTCACCCGCTGACCTGCTTTAAATAAAACATTACTCTGAGACTTTCTTTCCTTTGGGGCACCAAACGATTCATATCTGCATGACGGAGACAAAAACAACAACACAAATGTGTGATTTAGCAGTGCAGTGGTTTGATTGTGGTTACAGTACATTTCAAATACGTTAAAGAATATGTTTGTGAAAGGTGTAATATGAGGATACTCACAGTTCAGTGTATCTCTTCCAGTCTTCTCTGCTGACAGATGCTCTGGTGTTAGCCAAGGCTGTGGTCAGGTGAGTTTGGCATATGAGAGAGCCAGGTTTACTGGGGCCGGTCTGGACTAGTGATGATGAGGATTCATCCTGTTAACACAAATAAGCAGAAGATCTTTTCTAATGAGCAGCAATGGTGACTATAGACTCTCCAACACAGTCCCCAGGGTGGATGGATGAACGGATGGATGGATTGCTGAATAGATGGAGACCCTAGTTGGTTGAATAGAGATACAGCAATGGATAGGAAAATGGATTGATGGATGGAAGGAAAACTAAGGAGATACAGCACTGGATGAACAGGATGATGGATTGAAAAATATGATGGATAGATAAATGGATGAAAAACTAGAGGCATATAAAAATGGATAAGAAAACTAGATGGGTGGGTGGATGAATTCAATACAATTCAATTCAGCTTTATTTGTATAGCGCTTTTACAATGTAGATTGTGTCAAAGCAGCTTCACATAAATGGTCATAGTAACTGGAACAGTGTGGTTCAGAATGGAACCATGGAAAAAAATAGACTGATGGATGGAAAAAAAGGAGAGCTATAAAAAAAGGACTAGCAAAATGGATGGATGGGATGGAAACTAAACGAATAGGGCAATGGATGGATTGAAGGATGGGAAGATATATGATGGGTAGAACTTAATGAAAAATCAAAAAAGGAAATAAGAGGATTTAGCAATAAATGGAAAAAACTGGGTGGGTAACGTGGATAGATGGAAAATATAGATTGATGGATGGTTAGATGGAGAATTTAAGGTTGGAATGAAAAGATAAAAAACTAGATGGTTGGATGGATAAAAAAAACTAGATCTAAATATGGATGAGAAAACTGGATGGATGGACGGATGGATGGATAAACTAAAGAGATACAGCAATGGATGAACAGGAGTATGGGTTGAAAAATATGATGGATAGATCAATGGATGAAAAAGTAGAGGCATTAAAAATGAATAGGAAATCTAGCATGAATGGAATAAATGGAAAAAAACAGACAGAAAGAAAAAAAACAGACTGATAGATGGATGGAAAAAATGAGAGCTATAGCAAAGGACTAGCAAAATGGATGGATGGGATGGAAACTAAACGGATAGGGCAATGGATGAATTGAAGCATGGTAAGATATTTGTTGGGTAGAACATGATGAAAAATGAAAAATAAATAAATAAGAGATTTTTTATCAATGGATAGAAAATTGAGTGGGTAACGTGAATAGATGGAAAATATAGATTGATAGATGGTTAGATGGAGAATTTAAGTGTTGGAATGAATAGATAAATAACTAGATGGTTGGACGGATGGAAAAACTAGATATAAAAATGGATGAGAAAACTGGATGGTTGGATGGATGGATTGATAAATTAAAGAGATACAGCGATGGATAAACAGGAGGATGGACTGACAAACATGATGGATAGAACAATGGATGAACAAGTAGAGGCATATAAAAATTGATAGGAAATCTAGATGGGTGGGTGGATGAATGGAAACATGGACAGATGGAAAAAAAATAGACTGATAGATGGATGGAAAAAATTAGAGCTATAGCAAAGCACTAGCAAAAAGGATGGATGGGATGGAAACTAAATGGATAGGGCAATGGATGGATTGAATGATGGTAAGATATATGACAGTAGAACATGATGAAAAATGAAAAAAATAAATAAATAAGAGGATTTAGAAAAGGATAGAAAAACTGGGTGGATAACGTGGATGTATGTAAAATATAGATTGATGGAGGGTTAGATGGAGAATTTAAGGGTTGGAATGGATAGATATATAACTAGGTGGTTGGACGGATAGAAAAACTAGAAATAAAAATGGATGAGAAAACTGGATGGATGGATGGATAAACTAAAGAGATACAGTGATGGATGAACAGGAGGATGGATTGACAAACATGATGGATAGATCAATGGATGAACAACTAGAGGCATATAAAATGGACAGGAAAACTAGATGGGTGGGTGGATGAATGGACATGGAAAAAATAGACTGATAGATGGATGGAAAAAAGGAGAGCTGTAGCAAACCACTAGAAAAATGGATGGATAAGATGGAAACTAAACGGATAGGGCAATGGATGGATTGAAGAATGGGAAGATATATGATGGTAGAACATGATGAAAAAAATAAAAAATAAAAAAAAAGAGGATTTAGCAATGGATAGAAAAACTGGGTGGGTAACTTGGACAGATGGATGATGAACAGATGGAAATATAGATTGATGGATGGTTACATGGCTGTAAGTGTTGGAATGGAGAGATAAATAATCAGATGGTTGGACAGATAGAAAAACTAGATATAAAAATAAATGAGAACTGGATAGATGGATAAACTAAAGAGCTTGATGGATGGATGGTCAGACGGATGTATGGACAGATTGATGGATGGAAAATATAGATGGATAAAATGACAGAGATAGATGAAGAAATAAAAAGATAAAGCAATGAATGGGGAAAACGGCATGAATAGATGAATGGAAGGATGATGAATAACTATGGCATCCAGCAATGGATGGATATAAAGATAGATGAAAAACTAGAGTGATAGTAAACTTGGATGGATTGACAGACGGAGTAGAATTATTATGGAGGAAACAAGAAGGATAGATGAGTAGAGGGAAGCAAAAGCTTTTAGAATGATAGATTGGGAAAAAAAACTAGTTGTATAAGAATTAGGATGGGAAAAATAGATGGATGATAAACGGTTATAGTGATTTTTTAAAAAACAGAAAGACTAGATACAGTATTTTACATCAATATGTGGACGTATGATGTGAGGAAAGTGCAGCAACTGACCGTGGTTTTGCGGTAACTATTTTTAACGGTGCTGACTTCTGCTCGGAGGCGTTCAGACTGCTCATGACTCAGTTCCTGGAAGCCCTGCTGCAAACAGGACATGAACACAGGGGCATGACAGGAGCTTGGATCCCTCACCGATGCCCCTGTCAGGTCGGGGGCGGTGGAATTGGGTCCAGACAGGCACTGAGAATTCTGGGAGCAAAGCAAACAGAAAGCGACAGCCTCAATAGCAGCTCAAAAAGTGCTGAATCAGCATACTGTAGTAGCTGGAATGAAATCCAATCAATTGCATTAAAGCTGTACTGGAGGGCCTGTGTCCTGGAGAGTTTAGCTCCAACCCTAATCAAACACACCTGAACCAGCTAATCAAGCTTACTAGATATACTAGAAACTTCCTGGCAGGTGTGTTGAAGCAAGTCGGAGCTAAACTCAGGAGGACACCGGCCCTCCAGGACCAAGTTTGGACACCCCTGTATTGAAGGAACAGTTCACTTTTTTAGATTAGACCCTTAGCATCTTAAAAATGACTGATAGAAAATGAAAAGTTGCTATTTTCTAAGCCGGTATGTTTAGGAAGTATACTTTCATTCTGGTGTAATAATAAAGGATCTTTGTGGCTATAGCATGACTGCTATTTTCAGGTGCTAGGAATTTTCATTCCCCCTGCTGAAGGCACTGTTTCTTGATTATAACGTTGGAATGAGAGTATAGTTTGTAGCCATATCAGCTTTAGAAAGTAGCAACTTTTAAATGGAAACATTTTTTGCTATTTTGAGTGAGATGCTAATGGTCTAATCGGATTCAATTATCTATGCTAAGCTAAGCTAAAACTGCAACCAACAGAATTGGAGTTTGACTGAATGGATTAAAAAATGGTAACCAACTCTAGTATACTTGTAAAATGAGCCTATTTTCAAAAGAAGTGTTCCTTTTAGAAGACATATGAATAGACATGTTTATGCATGTTTCTAAACAATAATTGATTATAACATTGATAAATGACTTTTCACCAGGGACTGGTTGTCCAGTTCAGACTCGAAAGAGCTTCCGAAGTAAAGGCGCCAGATGTTGTGTCGTGGGTCCTCAGGTGGGAGTTCACTGGGCTCCAAAAGCACCATGGAGTGCTCCAGTCCTGCGTCTCCCTCTCCAGCGGAGTCATCCGACCCGCTGCTGTGGTTCAGGAAGATCAGGGAGGAGAGGCTGACATCACTGTCTGACCCGGAGCCCAGATCCTAGACAACAGCAGAGGGAGTCAGATTCAAACACAAGATCATTCAGCTTTATATGTGATTATTTGTATTTAATATTCTAGGGCAGCGGTTCCCAATAGGAGAGCCCTCCGCGAGCTCTGTGGGGATGTCATGTCATATTTTAAAATTGTTTTAGCTGAGGACAATTAGGAGAACGATCAAGTTGCCTTGAAAAAATGCCCTGGCTGACCAAAAAATGAACAAATTTGTCTCACTGATTCGCCTAAAGCAGCTGATACTAATGACCCAAGCATTCTGGACCCAGGTGAGGAAGCTCCAAACTTTTTGGGTCACAGCGCTAGCAATACTGAAAACACGGTATGCAGGAAATACCAAGATAGTTACTGGAACTATGGTTTTATTCCACATTCTCGAAGCAAAGTTTCCCTGACCCAGCACAGTGCATTATTTGTGCCAAAGTTCTTGCTAACGAATGCATAGAGCCGTCAAAAATTAATAAGACATCTGCAGACGACTCATCCCCAATACTGCATGGTATACCTAATACTAATGGCCTACTGATGTTTTGCTTTTATATTTTACATTAGGCTATTATTTGTGCATAAACATATCTAGATATAGTAACAAACATACTGTTTGTTTAAAATCAATCTTTTTTTTTTTGTCATAACTACTGCTAACTTAATTAAATGTGAAGGGGGGGCCTTACAATCTTTTCCGGGGGGAAAGGGGGTCACAGGCAGGGGAACCACTGTTTTAGGGTAGTTTTTTAGATCAATATTCTATCATATAAATTTACATCAACCAGGCCAGTTATTCAAATTATAATACTTATTAATTATCAACTAGGGGGCATCACAGTGGCGCAGTGGGTAGCACTATCGCCTCACAGAAAGAAGGTCACTGGTTTGAGCCTCGGCTGGGTCAGTTGGCATTTCTGTGTGGAATTGGCATTTTCTCCCCTTGTTGGTGTGGGTTTTCTCCGGGTGCTCCGGTTTCCCCCACAAGTCCAAAGACATGAGCGATAGGTGAACCAGGTAAGCTACAATTGGCTGTAGTGTATGTGTGTGAATGAGTGTGTATGGGTATTTCCCAGTGATGGGTTGCAGCTGGAAGGGCATCTGCTGCATAAAACATATCCTGGATAAGTTGGCGTTCATTTCGCTGTGGCGACCCCAGATTAATAAAGGGACTCAGCCGAAAAGAAAATAAATGAATGAATGAATTATCAACTAGGCCATAAAAAGGGATACAGAGAAGGATAAAATTGGATGATTGGATGGAAATAAAAGAAGGGCAGTTTTGACAGTGATTGAAGGATGAAAAAATATGTATCATTCATAAACCATTCTATAGTTTGTCATCGGTAAGCTACTGTAAGAAGTCTCTTCTGCTCAGTAAGGCTGCATTTATTCAATCTAAAATCTAATTAATATTTTGAAATATTATTTAAATTTAAAATAATTGTTTTCTATGTTATAGTTTTTAAAAGAGTAATTTATTCCTGAGATTCAAAGCTGAATTTTTAGTTATTTCTCATCAGTGTCACATAATCCTTTAGAAATTGTTTTTATAATTACATTTTGAATGGTCATCATATACAGCTCTTTCCACAAACATATGAGGCAGTACAAATGTTTTCAAAACTGCTAATAATACAAATTGTGCTAAGTATTTATTTCAAGTCACAATTCATGCTAATAACAAACCATAAACTAAGACTATAAGCTTAATAAACTGCTAATAAGCTGTGTATTAATAGATAGTATGGTACTAGTTATGTTTAGGTATAAAATCATAATTTGCCACTACTAATATACAGTTAATATCTTAATAATAGGCAGCAAATAAGCCAGTAGTTAATAAGGTGAATTGTTGCTTAAACTAAAGTGTTCACAGAAATGTTTTTCAGCATCAAATCTGCAAATGATAATGATTTCTAAAAGATCGTCTGACATTTAACACTGGTGTAATGATGATAAAATGTAAGCTTTATCATCAGAAATAATTACATTTTAAAATCTATTAAATTTTTTAGATTTTGACTAGATTTCATCACTGTTATGCATTTCTTTTATTTTCAGACTACACATTTTTATTATATATTTGAAAAAATTGAATGTAAGACTCATTCTTTTACTACTTTACAACAAATCTTGTAGACTCTAAACCAATGGTCTCAGAGGTGTTAATGTAAGAATGCACAGATCTATAATGAATGAATGAATGAATGAAGCATTTGACTACTTTAGTAACTGTTGTGCTCATTTAGGAGAAAATTAGTTGTGTTTAAAATAAAACAAGCAGGATAGAGCAAAAAAAAAAAAAAAAAAAAAAAAAAAAACGAAAAAAAAGATGCACTTTTCCGATGGTCCCTTACGGAGAGCTCCACTCAGCGCGAGCTCAGCTCTCCCGGCTAAACGCATATCCCAGGCTAAATGGCGCAGTGCTAGTAATATCGAGCGAAAAAAAAGAAAAAGACAGCTGTGAAACATAACCAGCTTTGTCTTTTTGTAGGAAACACACTTTAGATCTTTTTAGGGTAAGAGGTTTTTGAGTTATTGCCATCTATCACTGAATGTGTGTCAGGAATATTGAAAACAAAACCAACTTACCCCCGCTCATTTCTGGCGCCCCCTGGATGTACAGCGCCCTTACCATTTGCCTATACTGCCTATGCCATGGGCTGGCCCTGCCTGGAGGGCCACAGCTCTGCATAGTTTATCTCCAACCACCTCCAAGTCACCCCTGCGTAATAACCGTTAGTCGTCTTAAACACCTTAATTAGTTGAATCAGCTGTTTTTAAATAGGGTTGGAGCAAAAATGTGCATATCTGCGGCACTCCAGGAATCAAGATTGAGACCTATGCTCTAAACCTTTAAACAACAGTGTTGACCATTGACCGCTGTTCTTTACTCATGTGGCCCAGCCACTGAAAAATCCATACAGATCACTAACTAATCTTGCAGCCAGAGTTGTGTGCTTGTCTGAATTTGTATTGAACACACATGCAGTAGGTTGGGCCCCAGGCTGCTGTGTATGGCCTCTAATTGAGCGTTATAGAGAAGGGCCTTCAGATCAGCTCCAGTGAACAGCTCTGTTGCTCCAGCAATCTGATCCAAATCCACATCTGCAGCCAGTGGCACAGAATGAGTCAAAGCCCTCAGGATCTCCAGCCGAGCCTCCTGAAGAGCACATAGACATCTGCATATAAATGGATTTTCAGGAGTAAAGAGGTTAAACCGATGTGAGCTGGATTTAGCATGCTGACCCGATCAGGAGGAGGGCAGTAGAGAGACTTGTCCAGTCGTCCGGGTCTCAAAAGAGCAGGATCTATCAGGTCAGGACGACTGCTGGCAGCCAGTACATACACCCCTGCAAAAAAACAAACAAACATATATACAGTAACTTTCACAGATCACATAAATACAAGTCTGTCTTTGAAATATTCATGGCTCATACACTTTTTTTACTACTAAAATCCATAACTTTTCCAAGACTTTCAAGTAAATTTCATTAATTCATTCATTTTCTCTATTAGTCTCTGAGTTATCATGAACCGCCAACTATTCCAGCATATGTTTTATATGTTTTACGCAGCAGATGCCATTCCAGCAGCAACCCAGTAATGAGAAACACCCATACACACACACACACACACACACTACGGCCAATTTAGGTTATCCAATTTACCTATAGCGCATGCCTTTGGACTTGGGGAAAACCGGAGCACCTGGAGGAAACCCACAGAAATGCCAACTGGCTCAGCAGCGACTCGAAACAGTGACCTTCTTTCTGTGAGGCGACAGTGCTAACCACTGAGCCACCATACCACACTCAAGTAAATTTTCATGACCTAATGTTTCATATAATGTCTATGTATACGTGGTAAATAATAAGAAAAACTATGCATGTTCAAATTTACTACAGCATATCATAAATTATTAAGAAATAGATATTAGAAATGTATTCTTATAACTAGGTAAATTTAATTAAAATAATGCTTACACAGGGGCGTCACGGTTGCAAAGTGGGTAGCATGATCCCCTCACAGCAAGAAAGTTGCTGGTTCGCATTACATGTAACGCAAGTTACATAATAATATTACTTTTTTAAGTAACGAGTAAAGTAACGAACAACTTAAAAAAATTAAGTATTAATATTTGAGTAACTTTTTTTTTTAAATGTAACGCGAGTTCCTTTTTAGATTAATTAATTCACTTTTTAAAAAATTAATTGCTGAATTAAAAATAGTGTAATCTTGTTGAATCACACTTAATGAGAGAATGAGCTCCCCGCATAAACAGGTAGAAACCAAGATGGTAGAGCCTTATGTTTCTGTGATGGAAGTATTAACACTATTTTGAACACATGGATGAAAAGGGGATTATAGTCTCAATGGACAATGATTTTACTGAACCAACAGTTTACTGTAGCAAACTTATTGCTTTCAACTTTTATTAATCTGTATATACGGCATGGAAGTTCTCAGAAGGTAACATTATTCTAATCTTTTTTTAAATTAGATTGTTTTTAAAGGTAAACGAAGGTGTAGAAAAAAACCCAACCCAGGCTCATTCTGAAAACGTAGTCCCGTGGAGGGAGGTACGTATTTTAGCAGTTTTTGTTTTAGCGAATCCATGAGAGGCCGCTATATGCGATTTTTCGTATCACAAATGTCTCTCGCGAGTGGCGTTCGCACGCGCAATGTTCTCTCGTAAACCCACCAGAGGCTGCTGTCGAACGACCGTCTGTCTGACTGAATGATTGACTGTGTAACCGGCCAATCGACTGACCCACCCTCCTCCTTCCCTAAACCCAACCAATTTTACTGATTGACCTGACACCCGCTTACTTCCCTAAACCCAACCAACAATTTACAAAAAAGAAAAGCTGATTTTTACCACGTTTTCGGATTTTACCACATTCTCACCCTGTTATGAACTGGCTGATTCTGTTTTTGTATTACATGATTTTAGGAACCGCTCTTCCCCGAACTCAAACCCGTCATCGTCAGCTCCTCTCTGTATCTCAAGTCCGCCAAAGTACACGACGTGCTAACTGGACAAACTAGTTGCAGCGGGAAAGCCCTCCACACGAAGGTCAGACGGTAAGCGGAAAAGGAACGGCATCATACCACCCGTAGCGTTTGCCTAAAAAATGAAATGCAGCCATACGTATCTCCGGCTACATAATTCGCAGTCTCCAGAAACGTCCAGAGGTTTATGTTTCCAGAATGAGCCTGTGTTGAAAAAACCTAAGTTCTGAAAGAGATCAAGCCTCAAGGTATGAAAAAGTAACTTAAAAGTAGCTTAAAAGTACCCTAAGGAATTACTTACCATAAAAAGTAACTAAGTAATGCAATTAGTAACTACTTTTTTGGGGAGTAACTCAATATTGTAATGCATTACTTTCAAAAGTAACTTTCCTTAACACCGGTTATCACATTATATAACATGTCGAGTACCTGCTCTTCATCAGACTCGAAACGTTATACACTTAAAGTGAATACATTTGATATTTTGGTTTTGAGCTTTTGGTGTCTTTTGACAAATATTTGCATCCATTTTGTTTGGTTAAACACAGTTGAGATTGATGTGCATACATTTGCAAAAGTATTAGATTCAAAGGCAAGAAGCTCTTGCTGTAAAACACATGTCGGGATCCAGCATTTGACCCTGAAGTACTGTACCTGTGAGTCCTTCCACTCCATCCAGCTGTGTGAGCAGCTGATTAACCACACGGTCTGTGACCCCAGTGTTATCATGACCCCTTCGAGGAGCCAGAGAGTCAAACTCGTCAAAAAACAGGATGCAAGGCTTTGCTTGTTGAGCCCTGCAGCAACACAAACCCACACAAAGTGATGACTCTTCATTCAAACTCAAAAAGAAGTGTCTGTGTACATTCTGACAGACCTCTGAAACACATCTCTCACTGCCTGCTCACTGGCTCCGATATACTTGCTGAGGAGTTCGGGACCCTGGAGAAAATAATACATATATTGTGTTTTTATTAGATTATACAGTGCCTTCCACTAATATTTAGAAAGAAAAACATCATGAACAGATTAAAATACCTAGGAGGGGAAAAGAAAGATATAAAACATTTTTATTTTCACACATTAAATACCTTGGGCCCTATCATACAGTGTGGCGCAAGGCGTGGCGCAATAGTCTTTTGGTAGTTTCAGCTTGGCACAAGAGACGTTTTGAGGCGTTGCGCTATGCTGTTTAAATAGCAAATGCATTAGCGCTCATTCTTGCACCCATAGGCGTTCTGGTCTAAAAAGGAAGGCGTTCTGAGGCGGACCGCTGGCGCGTTGCTATTTTGAGAATCTATAATAGATTTTTCATTAGACCAAAACTAACCCGGTCTAAACTCGGCCTCGCTTACGCACTGCTTAATACGCACAAGAGAGCAATAGGCAAATATCTTTACATATGAAAAAATGTAAATATTAAGGATATATATATAGGATATAATAAGAATAGATATAGAATATAAATATAAAGGATTAAAATATTACAAAACATATTATTTTCAAGCCTACATAAATATGAAAAAACACTGCTTTTATGTCTTCTTCATCTCGGGAGGCTTTTTCAGTTCATTCATAACAATTTGCTTTTGTATAATGTTATTATTATTAGCAGTATAATTTTTTTATATCCATACTTATATTTGTTTTATTAAAAACAAGCTTAGATTTGCCCACCTGTCAGGTTTTAGACCTTATGGGAAACAGCATGTGTTTTAGGATATAACTCAGGTTTTAGAGCACATTTTGCTATTATTATTCATTTATTCGTTTGCTGGAAATTAGAACTGAATTTAGAAATAGTTTTGAAACGAATATTTGCGCTTAACAAACAAAAGTATTTATTTATAGACTAATTGATGTCTGTGCGTAAAAGTTTCCCAATCCAAGAGCGAAAGTGATCCATTATCTCTCATTCTCACGCAGTAGATGCTCTGTTTAACAGTTTTCTGTTAAAAAAACTGTTAACTGTTTGCTTGTGAAATGCTCATTTTTTCCACTTAGACTTACTTTGCGTCCTGTAAATAGCGAATGCTCTCTTGGCGCGACGCAGCTGGCTCTTAAAGGGAATGGGAGATTCTAATTGGTTTATTCTCAAAACACACCTATAACTCATTAAGAAAATAAACTCAACCCTTTTAGAACATGCGCCGCGGCGCAAGGCAGATTTCCCGTCCTTAAATTAGCAAAAACGCATCCTGACACGCCCTGAAAGCGTTTGCGCCCTGAATTTTGCACTCTGCGCATGGACCGTCAAAATAGAGCCCCTTGTCTCCAAGGGGTTTAAATTTGGATTTTGACTTGAAATCTTTTTAGTAATTGTGTATGTTTACCCATGTATTGGTTTATCTATGTTTTATTTAAATAAATTTCAATATTTTGATAGCAACATGCATACATTACACATTCCCTCACCTTGATGCTAATGAAGTTCATGCCGCTCTCTTTGGCCACAGCTCCAGCCAGTAGAGTCTTGCCAGTCCCAGGAGCTCCATACAGCAGCACACCAGAGCACTGACGCAGGGGCAGACTGGAGAAGAGCAGCGGATACTGGACACAACATGACCACACAAAACACCATTACTACAAAAATACATCAGCAGGGAAATAAGATGGAAATTCAACAGTCAAAAAAATGGTAAACTTTTATGTTTTATGAGTTTTTTTCAGGAATAATATTGAAAATTTCTATTCAATGCTGTTGATATAAAATTAAACCAGATTTTGGTAAAAACTCAAACAATACAAAAATAAAAATAAAACACAACAAAAAAATCAGATTTTTTTTTATGTGTAATAACAATGGAATGACACAAGGAGAAAGTATGGAACTACTGAAACACATTTAATGCTTTATATAAAAGTTTTTTTTGTTGTTGATGGCAGCTTAAAGTTGCTTCTCATATGGAGAATGAAGTCACATGCATTGCACATACATTAACTTCAACAGTGTAAAAATTTTGATAGTTATGTGGGTTTTGTCTATCAAATCTAAACTTTATTTTGTATTTTCTATTGGAATCAAGTCAGGCGATTGGCTGGGCCATTCTACGGTTTGACTTTCTTTCTCTGAAAGCATTTAAGTTTCCTTGGCTGTGTGTTGGATCATTGTCTTGCTGAAATGTTCACACTGGTTTCATCTTCATCATCCTGATAATGTAGATGTTGGACTGAAGCAGCTAATATTAATTTACACTGACGAAGGGCAGAGGGTTGCTGAAGAACTACTGAGAAATTTCAGCTGCTGTCTGGGCTTTCACTGCTTTTCTACACCTCCCTTTCTTCAAGTGTTCAATACTTTTTTCCTGTCATTTCATTTCATTACGCATAACTTATTTTGTAAACTAATTAGATTTGTTTTCTTTTCATACATGCATTTCTTTGGTTGTTATGGAGAGATTTAGCCATCCTTACAGCACCTTAGGAAATATGTTCTCTGAGAAAAATAGTGACATGTTCAATACTTATTTCTCACACTGTAAGTTATTTTATAGAGATAAATTAGCTTTAAATGATCGTTTCTAGTCTCTAACAAAACTAAAAGTGAAACTGCAGCTCTGCACAAGACGTTTGACCAGAGGAGAAATGGTCTTGCCCAGCTGAGCTGGATTTTCTCAAGATTTTTTTTCTTTCACTTTGGTCAATTGATTTCAAAAGTTTGTTTCTTCTCCACTGTCGCCACGGACTTGCTTGGTTAAAGACTTTCAGCAGTGACATTTACATTACACTGAACCAAACTAAACTGAACTTCAACTGTGAAAACTGCACTGAAGCACCTTCAATTTACTAGAACGATATCTATGTTAAGCTGCACAATCAACATTAAAAAAAAAATAAAAAATACACACACACAGACACACACAAAGACACAACCACAGACACACACAGACACACACAGACACACAGACACACAGACACACACACACACACACACACACACATATGTGTGTGTATTTATTTATTTTTTACAATGCTGATTGTGCAGCTTTTTAAGTAGCCACTTTTCACTTTTTTTATTTACACCAATTTTAGTCAAAAGTACTGTATGTAACTTTTGTTTGTTGTAAGTTAACCAAATTCCTTTAATGAAAGTTCATCATCATGCATTTTCTGTACAGTTGAATATACATTGCAGCATTAAAAGACTCTTTGAATAGCTTAATTTGCCACTTGAACAGCTTAATTTACAAAGACTAATCAATTTAATCACTAATTTAAATATTAATCAATTTAGAGTGACTGGGAAGATTTTTTTTGGTTTTATTATTGTAGGAAACCATTCATAATAATTAGAAAAAATGTAAAATATTAATATGAAGATATGTACAATAGTGAAATTATCCAAAAAAAACTTTAATGTTTTGTTTGTTTCACAATAAACATCTTACAATTCTTTTTTTATTTTTCCTATAAAGATAATTTTTTTCCACATATTACTTTAATATAGAGTTGAGAAAAATTCTTCCACTCACACCTGTTGCACGTAAACAACAATTTTTTTAAATTTTAAGTTTGAAGAAATGGACTCTTTGTAAAATAATACCTTAGCCGGCAGCAGTATGATGTCCATCAGGAGCTGACGTGCCTCATGAAGACCCCCAATCCTCTCCATCCCAGCCCCGCTAGGCGCCTGCAGCTGAGCGTCCCACAGAGACGGAGGAGTGAAGCCCTGGAGAGCCTGTCTGAAGTCCTTACAGCTCAAATCTGCAGATCCAGAAAAGTGAGATTAGAGAAAAAAGCTACATCACAAAAAGACTATTGCGCATGACGTGCTTGCCTTCAGAGTTGTGTAGTGTGTTGGCATGGATGGCCCTCTCCAGCAGCAGATTCAAGTCTCGTGCCATGAATCCCTCTGTTTCTTTAGCTACACTGTCCAGATCAAGAGTAGTCTGACAGACCTGGAAGCTCTTTTTCACTATCAAAGACTTCAGAATCTCAACTCTTTGAGCCTATAAAGAGAAACCATAAAGATGTTAAGCCTTAAAAACAAGTCTGTAAATTGTTTCACATTACATTTTAAATTATAATATTTATTAGAAAAACAATGATTAATATTTTTTCCTTTCCCTGAACTGACCTGATCTGGTGTTGGGATCTTGCAGAAGCTCTGGAAGAAATGTGAGCCCTGCACCACAGTTAGAGTCGGATGAAGAGCATGTTCAGTCTGTGCTGTGACTATTAGAGCGATGAGACTGGATCGAAGCACTATCTCATCCACCAAATCCTTCAGACCTGAGGAGAACATGCAGAGAGAAGATGTCCACCCTGTTCCTCATAGATTAAAACATGTAGAGCCAAGCATGTCTGTATGAGGTCTAACTCTGTGAGATGTGCTGCCGCAGTACAGCTTCTGGTCCGTGCTCATGTTCAGGTGAAGTCGCAGCACCGGCCACATGATCCAGGTCATCCAGCAGGACCACTGAGGGCTGCCTCCAAACTGCCTGCTCAAAAACGTCCTCCAGTCTCTGCCTTATTGTGTCTGTTCTCTTACCTAAACAATTCATGCAGTAAACAATAATTATAAACGAGAAATATGACCTATAAAAGACATGTTAAATTTTCAGGCAACCTTTCAGTGTCTTGCAGTCCAAAAGTTGAATGTGGGCATCCAGGTCTTCACTAGCCTTTCTACACAATGCTCTGGACAGAGAAGACTTTCCACTGCCCTGCACAGAAAAGCCAAAGATTTACCACTTACACTATATCTCTTCCAGCGCCCTTAAATAGCCAAGTGGCATCAGCTGCATTGTTGTACCGTTTGAGCTGTTTAAACAGAGCTTTGCGTCAAACAAGCTCTTAGCATTGTTTATGGTAATGATCTTGATGTGATATTTGCATTTACATCAAAAGACAATTCAAGCATTAAAGATGCAAATATTAAGAATTCATATCCATCAAATAAGATTAACCTTCTTGAAGACTTTTTTCATGAACACCTTGCCAGCCACAAAAAGTAGTTTATAAAGTCAAGCAAACATGACAGCACATAGACCCCAACCAACCAGCACGAGATGTCAGTCGGATGTTGTTTTTGGGCTAAAACAAGTCAGACCATCATGGACTTATGTTGCTCAAAAAACAATGTTGAAAATTAGTCTTTGTCAACAAAAACTAGAAAATTTGCTGGTGACTTGAAGGATGTCCGCATAACATTTGAGGCTGATCACTCTGAGGATGTTAATTTTTGGTCACATGGAGGACGCCCCCATAGTGTTTGAGGCCGATTACTCTGATAACGTTTATCTTTGGTCAATCGGAGGATGCCCACATAACGTTTGAGGCCGATCATTCGGAGGACATTAATTTTTGGTCACTCAGAGGATGCACACATAGCGTTTGAGGCCAGTCACTCGGAGAACGATAATCTTTGGTCACTCACAGGATGCCCCCATAACATTTGAGGCCGATCCCTCAGAGAACGTTCATTTTTGTTCACTAGGAGGACGCCACCATAACATTTGAGGTCGATCACTCGGAGGACGCTAATTTTTGGTCACTTGGAGGACGCCCTCATAACGTTTAAGGCCAGACACTCAGAGGACATTCATTTTTGGTCACTTGGAGGACACCCCATAACGTTTGAGGCCAATCACTCGGAGGATATTCATTTTTGGTCACTCGGAGGACGCCCCATAACTTTTGAGGCAAGTCACAGGGAGGACATTCATTTTTGGTCACTCGGAAGACATCCCATAACGTTTGAGGCCGATTACTCGGAGGAGGTTAATTTTTTGTCACTCAGAGGATGCCCATATGGTATTCACTCCTGGAGATTCGAATGATGTCCCCATAACATTAGCTCCCGGCAACTCAAATTACATCCGCATAATGTTCATTCCTAGTCACACAAATAATGCCCACAAAATGTTCACTCCCAGTTACTCAAATTATATCCACATAACACTCACTCATGGTCATTTAAAAGACGTCCGCAAAACATTCACTCCCAGTCACTCAAATAAAGACTGTGTAACATTCATTCCTAGTCATTCGAATAACGTTCGCTGCCGGTCACTCTAATTATGTTCACATAACGTTTACTCCAGGTCAATCGAAAGACATCCACATAAAATTTGCTCCAGGTCAATTGAATAATGTCTCCATAACATTTATTCCCAGTCACTTGAAAAAAGTTTGTTCCTGGTCACTCGAATAACGTCCACATAATGCTTGCTCACAGGCATTCAAATTACGTCCACATAACGTTCCCAGACACTCGAATGACGTCCACATAATGTTCACTCCTGGTCATTTGAATAATTTCCACATAACGTTTATGCAACCTAAAAATATGTCTTTTAACTTTCACTTTACAACTAAACATCTTTTTAAACACATCTGATGACCTAATTTCAACGTTGTTTTGACGCCTGACAGTGTCGTCTTTTTTGATAACTTTTTATTGGTTGGGAATTACTGGAAAACATTCATTTTTCAATGCATCACATCAATACAAGAGTCTATTTACCTAAAACATGTGCATTGACAGATCTCTAAAGTCTAATCTTAAATAATGTTCTAAGTTGAGAAATCAAGAACACCTGCAATTAATTACTGCATTTGCCTCAAGCTAAAATAAAGTATTCCATATCTGATAAGAGCGCTGCATGTGTGTCTGAAGGTTACCTTTGCACCTGTGATGAGCAGAGCTCCACCCCTTAGTCCCCGTCCTGTGGAGATGAGCTCACGTGACAGTGAACCTCCCATCAGAGCATGAGAGATGTGCTGGAAAGCAGACCTGCTGATGTCCTCTACCCCACTGAGCAAACACAGACAACAACCACACAGACTCCTCGCTAAATCAATCATGTGTGCAGCTAAATATATTACATAATGATACATTAATACTTCCTGATTTTAAGAAGAAAATGAGCATACCCAAGAGAGCTGAGAGAGGGAAAGCCAAGACACTGATCTTCAGTATCATTATCAGAACCTCTGTGGTCAGAATTATGTGGTTCTCTGGCAATCTAAACAAAGATTGTTCGTTGAGCAGCCAAGAGAAAAAAAAAATGAATCTTTAAAATACAATGCCATTTATAGATGGGCAATATTCACAATAAAGATCTCAATATTTCTAGGTATTTTTCCACAATAATAACTAATCAACATTTTTCCTGTCATTATCATGGATTAAAAAAACCCACTAAAACTGCCAGTAGGTGGCAACAAGTCTCTGTTCTAATAATGATTCATTGAATCATTTAGTCAAATGAGTCATAAGAAGCATCTAATTCATTTAGAAATTAATTTACAGTCTTGTGAATAGATCGACGCATCATTTGACTCAGTTGATTTGTTTCAAGACTAAATCCAGGCACACATATTCTGCTCTGGCTTTGTTTCTATTTTTACTGACCAAAAAAAAAAAGAAAGAGATATTGTGTCTAAAATGTGCACATGCCGATTTTGGGGAAAATGTATCTCTTATTACTTCAGTGGTACTGTGGTATCATAAATATAAAAACACCTGTTTTTATAATTAGTCACATTATGTTTTTTTTTCACGGATCAGACAATTTTTTCAGATCAGCCAAAAAAGGGAGGAGACAAATGTAGTTTGCTTTCCATTTTTTACAAAAACAGCACTGCAAGACACTTTTGGTTTAACAAACAGAACATAGAAGTTGTAATTTTATTAAAAATAAAATGAAGAAATAATCAGCTGAATAAAAATAATCAGTAAAATATTCAGTACTACTGTTGCTGATAACGCTAAATGTAGAAATCTAATATTATCATTTGTACAGCCCATATTTATTTTTAGTATCATTTTCAATAAATGATTCAGTTATTCACTCAAAACTTCATGTTTCATTGCTAAATGGATCATTTTTGAAGAATTATTCAGTGGCATATTTTTGATGGCAGGTTGTCGCCACCTTTTAGGTAAATAATGTAATTGATACCTACAACTTTAACCCCTTCAGACCTGAATTATGTTCCAAATTTCAGAAAAATTGGATGTCATTTGATGTCCATTGTAATGGACGCAGGGTCTGAAGGGGTTACTTTTTGAGCACATGACGGTCATTTAAATCTTTCCTTTAAACATCAGTTGTTTTATCTAAACTCTAAATTGTTATCCCAGTACTTCTGTGTTATTTGACTATTTGCAACTTTGTAACTAAATCATAAAACTACTAACTGAATCTCTTTCTTAATTTTTGTGTATTCCAAACACAGATTTGAGAGCAGCGATTGGAAGGATTAATAAATGTATGCAAATTACCATCATTTATAATTTGTTGCATGGTTGTTATGATCTTAAACTTTCAATGATTAATCATGCAGTTTACACTGAATGCAGTGATGCATTGATGCTAAACATGTAGTGACAGAAAACACCTTTAATGAAACCCACCACATCCAAAAATAACCTACCACAAATTTTTCCGTCAACATTATATTTAAAGGAAAGCCTAAATGCTTTCATACATGTGATTTGAATGATGTGAGAGGCAATCTCTCAGAGGTTGTTACAAAATTAGGATTAATCTACGAGTAAAAAAAAAAAAGTATTAATCCGCAGGTCACATGTCTTCCGAACATGTGATTTGTGATCTGTACGAATCACGTTATACCCCTAATCATAACTTGAATTATATTAGCATTATAATAAGCTTTGTATCAAAATGAATGCTATTAGGCCTTCAAGTCATATTTTTGCGTGACAAAGTGAGTGTATACTCAATATCAGCTTGAACATCATTAAAACAACAATTGACAATATTATTTTACAAGTTAATATACACAGTATATGACTTAATACCTGTATGTCTGTTTTTCTTAGTAAACTGTTTGACAGAAAGAACAATTCATCCTCTTGCTGTTGTTCTGGTTTTAGCACAGTCAAGGCAAACTCTTCCTTTCCTGTGAACAGAGAATTCCCGGTTAGTCTGTAATAGCTGTAGTGGCATTAAAAGAGTTGTAATATCTTTGAAAGAATCACTGATTGTTCTTCCTCCCACCTTCAGCACAGGGTAAGAGAATGATGTTAGATCGTCCTGTCAGGCAGGTCAAAGGCTGATGGCTCTGCGCATGCAACCAATTGAGGAATGCCGTTTGAATATCTTCTTCTTTTTCACTCTCGGCCTGCAGACAGTAAGAAAAAACAACAGTATTTATTTTTAAATAATTAATTTATGTTTGAAAGAAAAACTTACCAATGGTTGCAATGGTTGAACCATGACTGTTTCAGCTAGTCTTGGCATTGATTTCAAAGGCTGAATCCTCACAGCTGAGTGAAGGTCTATTTTCAAACGCCTCTGCAGCATCTTTGGGATCTATAACACCAACAAAAATTATACTAGGGATGTACAATATTTCAATATATCAGCATCATACTGGCTATCCAAGTACATTACATCTGTTTCAATTTATTTGCATCAGCTCCATTTATTTAAGAGAGGGATATTATGACTATTATTCCATGGTCTGTTAAAATGCTTGATTCTGATTGGCTGGAGGGTGTGCATTATTTTCGTTGAAACACACAGGTAGTTCCAGTCAGTTTGATCACAGTTCCAAATAAATGCACTTCTCCCAAACATCTGTAGACATTACAGCAACACACATGTGCTGCATGTGCTCAGATGAGGACGATCAATGGCAAATGTAAAATCAGCAAAATTAGTAAAATACTCATTATTATGCCTCAAAATCAAGTTTTATTTATATTCTTTTAAAAAGAGAATGTAGTTATTTTAAAGTCAAATCGGCAGCATATTTATAAAGATAGTGCGTCTTTAAAAATGTCAGACTTTAAGCTCTAGGCAGTCAGCGGTAGCTTAGCGAACAGATCCAACCGAGAGAAACTTTATTTCAGCCAGACCATCTAAGCACCTGCCGCTGGATCTCATCTCTTGCATCTCTGTTGTTTTAAACATGATATATAATTATTCTTGTGTGTAACCGTCAATCTTAGGACTTTTTAACCTATTATTTGTCCTCAGGTGTATGTCTTCTTTTTTTTTTTGGCAAATCGCAAAAAGTTTCATAATTTATGACCGTGATATTACACTGATCTGCGTGTTTGTCTGATTGCTTTTCTTTATTGGAGCTTTTGTTTTAAAGAAGAAAAACTAAAGCTAAAATAACTGTACAGGTGAATTAAATAAACTAAATTGATCATAGGGTATGTGTGTGAATGAGTGTGTATGGATGTTTCCCAGTGCTGGGTTGCAGCTGGAAAGGCATTCGCTGTGTTGAACATATGCTGGACAAGTTGGCGGTTCATTTCACTGTGGTGAGCCCTGATTAAAAGTTTGCGATTGCGTACTATACCAGACACCCCCCAGCTACTTAGTTCTTGCCATGTTCTGCCCCACTCTTCAGTTCTGCATGTCCCTTGGAAAGCCTCTGCACGGTACTGACTAAGCCGAAGGAAAATGAATAAATAAATAAATAAATAAAATGTGAACATTAGATAAAAATATATTGAATCTGTAAATCATGTTCAGATGTTTTTCTATTTAATGTTTTAAAATTTCAAATATTTAAATGTTCCACCAGAGCACTGCTAGACGATTACGAAGGAGGGTATTTTTTTAATCATATTGCTATCCAAGAACTATTTCAGTTGCTAGTTTTCTAAATGGTCAAGCTGTTTCTCACCAGCCAAAGTTCCCTTCCTGAGAAGTCATTATTATAAACAACTTCCTCCATAATAATCATAATAATAGAATAACTCACCCAAACCTTTCCAGAGTAAATTTCTTCGCATTTATTGAATTTTTGATCCTCCTGTAGCCTGTTTATATTGTGACAAAGCATCCTGACCACAGCAGAATTCTCCATGTGCTCCTCCGTGTCCTTCTCTTTATGGGATGCATCTCTAATTTTCTTCTTCTCCATGGCCTGCTTAACTTTCTCCCTGAGCTCTTTAGGAGAAAGGATCTTTGAAAGTCTGCCATATGTTAGTGCAGACTGTCCTGGATTCCAGTTCTCTTGCTCTTGAAGGTTCCATGGTAGTATATGGACATCTCCATGACACGAGCCAAGATGGCTGACAGACCTAGGAGGGCTTCCGCAAGTTCGGAGGATACAGTCTTTCAGGATGGCAGGAATTGTGGGAACAGCAATTTTCTCCTTTGCAGGCTCGCGTCCTCTTGTAAACAGATATCTAACCAGGCCTTTCAGATCAGCTATACCTCCCCAATGGCCTTCATTCAAACTCTCCGGATGATCATTTTGTGGATCCTGAGAGGCATTTGAGGTGGAAGACGATGTGATATTAACGTTTTGATGTTGTCTTGGCTCTTCTGATTGAGGTTTATGGAGTAGTTCACTCCCTGGGTGTAGTTTGGGGGAGACGATGAGCTCAGTGAACTGCTCCAGTCGGCCGAATGGTACAGATGGAGTTAGTGATGCTAAAAACAAACAAAAAATAAAGAATTGTTAATATAAAGGACCGATTCATATCCAAAAACCACATATAAGACAGTTTAAAAAGGGCTGGCTGGCTGACCGATTCTGATATAGATGACAGTGTGCTGGTCCACCCAAACAGGAAAAACACCATCACTGAAGACCACCCGGATCTGATCCAGGATTCGCTGCTCCAGAGCCAAGCTGTGCAGCTCCTGGAATAAATTACAGTCAGTTTTAGACTAAAAAGAAATGTATGCTCCATTTTAGCTCTGTCATCTGATATACTGAGGAAAAATAAGTATTGAACACATCATGATTTATGCTGGGCAGCACAGTAGCGCATTGAGTAGCATGATCACCTCACAGCAAGAAGGTCACTAGTTCGAGCCTCGGCTGGGTCAGTTGGCATTTCTGTGTGAAGTTTGAATGTTCTCCCCGTGTTCGTGTGTTTCCACCGGGTTCTCTGGTTTCCCCCACAAGTCCAAAAACATGCACTATAGGTGAATTCCTTCATTCATTCTTCATTTTCTTTTCGGCTTAGTCGCTTTATTAATTTGAGATCGCCACAGCCGTACGAACCACCAACTTATCCAACATACGTTTTACGCAGTGGATGCCCTTCCAGCTGCCCTTTCAGCATCACTGGGAAACATTCATACACACTCATACACACACACATACACTATGGTCATTTTTTTTAGCATACCCAATTCACCTGTACCACATGTCTTTGGACTGTGGGGGAAACCGGAGCACCCGGAGGAAACCCACACAAACACGGGGAGAACATGCAAACTCCACACAGAAATGAAAACTGACCCAGTCGAGGCTCGAACCAGCGACCTTCTTGCAGTCAGGCGAACGTGCTACTCACTGCGCCACCACTATAGATGAATTGAACAAGCTAAATTATTCATATTGTATGTGTGTGAATGTAAGAGTGTATGAGTGTTTCCCAGTGTTGGGTTGCAGCTGGAAGGGCATCTGCTGTGTAAAACTTATTAGTTTATTAGAATCCATTAATATCTAATCAACTTATTAGATCAGGATCCCCTGATTAATAAAGGGACTAAGCCAAAAAAAAAAATAAAATGAATGATTTATCCTGGTAAATATATTTCTAAAGAAGCTGAGGGCAAATAAAATTGACCCTGAATTTAGTAAAAACTCAAACAACCCAAACATGCAAATAAACCAAACCAAAACAAATCTGAAAAATGAGTTATATGTAATAACAATTGAATGACACGCGGAGAAGGTACTGAACTACTGAAATGTATTTAATACTTTGTATGAAATTCTTTTGTTGGTAATAACAGCTTGAAGATGTCTCTTGTACAATGAATTTTATTACACATAATTAATTTTTTTAAGTAATTATTTTTGTTTGCTTTTGTATGCATAAATTACCTTAGTTGTTACTGACATTTGGTGAACATTTCAAGTCAACTGCACTTTTAGAAATATGTTTTCCCATGTTTAATACTAATTTAACCCACTGTATGACGTTTTAAAACAGTACAATCAATGAGAACAAGACTAGACGGTCACCGAAAAGCTATGTTTTATCCTAGAGATGACCCAAATGTGAATGTGAGATGGCAGTGGACTTTTCTGCAAGAATAATAATTCACTGAAGAATTGTGCCAAATAAATCCAGTAGTGTTTAGGGTCAGTTTATTGGATTTGAAATATCCATGATTTCTTGATAATGAATGTAGTGGCTACTGTAAATCTGCAAGCGAGCAAATTCACAAGCGATCAAATTAGAATAGGACCAGTAATGTAGAGTGTACCGGAAAAAATAGACGCAAGTATTAAAAATCGTCTCTTTAAAAAGTTTAATTGAAAGCATATAATACCAGGTAGAAACAGGGCCCAAGTTATATGCATTAAAATGCACACATCACTTTCTGAACATCTAGAGACTGAATATAGTTTTCTAGATATCAGATCATCATATTATATATATCATGGTGAACTCAATATGAACTTACCAGGATCTCCCAGTCATCTGGTGACAGAGGCTCTACAGACACCTGCTGCACTGACTGCACCTGAAGACAGGGCCGAAGATACCCCTAAAACACAACAAAACCATATTAAAAGTATCCCAATCAGTGGTTCTCAAACTTTTTGAGTTTGTTTTGAGTCCAGAGACTTTATTTGTAAATATCATGATTAAAATTTAATGGATTAGAGTTAAGGATACACATCTTTAAAGGGGTACTGTTATAATCTTTATAGGGTTATATATGACCTTTGGTTATATGACCTAGGGTTATATGACCTTTGGCATTATACAAAAGAGTATATCCATCTGTGAAAATTCGGGTGCTATATGACTTTAATTATTCAAATTTATTTTCCAGTTGTTTGTGATTTATTAGATAAGGAAAATGGTCTTTAATCTAAACACGATAACATATTTCAATCTTCAATCTAAACATAATATATTTGTTACTAACAATTTATTTTGGAATAACAGTTTAATAATTTACAAGACTTATCAAGGTCTAGAGTATGACTAGACTTCCTCTACAGGTATAGTCGTTTTTTAATATACAAATCTTAAACTAAATTAGGAAATTTAATTCTTAATTTCTTAATTTTGTAATTCTTGTGTTCATTTTAATGCCTGTTTAGTCTGACTATAAATAATTGTAATTTATATTTTAATTTATACGCCTGGGTGAGAACACTGACACCCACACAAATCACATTGTCACCATATGTAACACATAATAAAATGAATATTATGATTATACTGTATAACTGTTTAACTTTCCGCTGCGTAAAACATATGCTGGATAAATTGGCGGTTCATTCCGCTTTGGTGACCTCAGATTAATAAAGGAACCAAGCTGAAAAGAAAATGAATGAATGAACTCTTTAACTCACATTCGTGTCGTTCCAAACTTTTACAACTTGCCATTTTACTTCTTGCTCTAAATTTTTATTTTTTTATTTTTTTGGTTAGCAGCATTCCTAAAAATCTTTTCTTTTTGAGTTTGGTAAAAGAAATGCATGCAGATGTGTACATTTCTGACAGAATAATCTTTTTTGGTGGACCATTCTTTTAGAAAGTGACCAACCTGTTCTCCATCTCTGAGCCCAAGCTTCTCTCCCAGCTGTCGGCTGATCTCAACCCTGTCCTCTGGACCTGAAGACCTGGACCTGATCCAGCTGAGGAACACCGGTGCAGAAACACCCCATGATAGCTCCAAAATCTGGTTCTGAATTTACAATAGTGTTAGACAAGAAAACCTTCTAGCACTTGCTTATAACAGAGTTCAATCATACAGGACAATGCTAGCATATGTTTTGTATGTATTATAATGTTGCTAGCAGAACACAAACCTCATGCAGACAGAGATGAGTAGCGAAGTTTGATGACAGGTGAAGAAAACAGTTCTTGGAGTTATTAAAGACTAACGTGACAGGTTGAATCCCCTGGCTTCCCAACATTGCCTGCGAGGCTGCAGAAACCTCGCTCCTGCTAAAAAACTGTCCCTTATTCTACGTTATTTTGAGGCAGTGTTAAAGCCAGTACGCTAGAGGTGTCAGCATGAACTGTACGTCAGACATTATTAGTACAAGTGTGTCGATAAATCGTAAGCGCTGTACATTTTCGATTAGCTGAGTCTGGCAGTGTTGCCAGATCTCGCTGTGGAAACGAACAGAAAGTGGAAATACTGCTCGTTATTTTTTTAGTTCAGTATGACCAAACTGTCAAACTAAAATATAATACACCATTACTTAATAACTGCAATCCACAACGATCTACTTACAAAAAGATAATATATGAAAGAAGTCGCGCTAAATATGCTCATAAAAAATGGTGATGGCTACCCTCTTGACGCTTGAAAATTATTTCAAAATAATTACACTTGTTTATAATTTGCTTTAAATAAATCAAGCAAGATAGTTTTTAAGACACTGTATAAATACAATTTTATTTTATATTAGTATTTTGTAAATGACTAGATATTGCTTTATGTCAAAGTATCAAAGAGAAAACTACCCCGGTTTCTAGACCTCTATTTTGAAATGTCATATTCCCGGAAGTCTGTGCTCCCATTGAGTCCATGCGTATGTTTATCATGACTGATTATTATGATCTGAACTGATTATTACGTGCTAAAGCTATTGTAAATCTTGTTGAGCGATAAGTTAAAATATCAGTGAATGGTGTATTTGGCGTTTAGCTTTATTTGCGCTGTTGTTCAGAATATATATCACATTTAGTCATGGAGGAAGTGGAGACAGCAGAGGAGCAGTTAGCCAAACAGCATCGCAAGGAAAAGAAAGACCTGCAAGGCAAGAGTTTTTATATGTCACTTTTATATGTAGAATTTAATATTTATTAGACAGAGATTTCGCTGCAGAGGATTTAATAAGCGTTAAGCACTGCAGGCGAATAGGCTAAGAATTCCCCTGTTGATTGATCACATTAGGATTTGCAATGATATTCTCTTTTACAAGTTTCATAAAATGTTTAAATATGCTAATAGGGACTTATTTAAATAAATATGCGCTCATATATGAACTCGGGTAAAAAAAGTTTACAATTATTTTTGTCTTTGTCATTGCATAATTCAGAAAGTATGCTAACAGTCAAAAAATCATGTTTTAGTAAAAAAAAATGTTTTATAAAATTACTAGGCAAGGCAAATTATTTATGACAATAGAAACTGTAGTAATAGAATGTGTGTTTTATTGTTTACAAGTGCTACTGGAAATTTATGGCTCAGTCCCAGAAGGAAAAAAAATCTATTTAATAAAACTTTAAAAATATGTATTGTATTTGAAATCTAAGGACACACATGGACAAAGTTTAACAAAAGAATCACTAAAAAGTGTATTTTGTTTTATTTCCGTTAGACTGGGGATATGTGTATATATATATATATATATATATATATATATATATATATATATATATATATATATATATATATATATATATAAAACTTGTTTCCCTTTTAAGCACATTATATTTTATTTTAAGAAACATTTTAAATATTTTTGAACAGTAAACATGGCTAAATAAATAATTGACTTCTAATGTCTTTATTTGTTTCAAAAAAAAATTTTTTTTTTTACAATTTAAAACACAATATCTTTTCTGCTGAAGATACTGCTGTCTTATAAAAAAAAAGAACGGTAATGCAGAAAATTTTGAAGGGTTCAAAACCTTGACTTTTCCAAAACGCGGTATACCTTGAAACGATTATCGTCCCATACCGAATTATGATTTATACTTATTATATCATTCTGATATTATACCTTTGCCAAGTGCATGCAACCTTCACATACCCGCACACCTCTCAAAAAAATGTACTACACATTACAACGACATGTAGCACAAGCTTTGTGATTGGTCGGTTGGGGGCAGAGAGCTGCGTTTTAGGCAATGTTTGTTTAATTTCAGTTGTTCAGCATTGATGTTTAATAAATAATCAAAGATAGTATATATTGTGTGTTTACTCAATCATAATACTGCAAATTTACTGTACAGTACTTGTCTGAACTATAATGGCAAAAAATTAAATAAATAAATAAATAAATAAAATAATCCTTCATTAATCATAAGCAATTTAAAATATCAATTAATCGAGATTTTGATTTCAGGCCAAAGCGTCCAGCCCTAAAAAACTACCATTATTATTTCTAATAATAATAATAATAATAATAATAATAATAATAATAAAAATAGATTTATATTGCGCTTTTATAAGACCCAAAGTGCTTACAAAACATTAAAAAACAAAGCACAATAAAACAATAAAGAATGCTGTAAAAACACAGTATGAATAAAAAAAAGACATCAGAAATTAAAAACAGTCCTAAAAAGATGAAATTTAAGTACCTGCTTAAAACAGTCCAAGGAACCAGCATCCCTAATGTTTGTGGGAAGAGCATTCCAAAGTTTGGGTGCACGGTAAGAGAATGTCCTACCTCCCATAGTTCTGAGTTTACAACGAGGCCGAAACAGCGTAGGACCCAAGGCAGAGCATAGAAGGGTTGTTTTATTATCGCTTGGCACAAATCCTCTTCTGTATTTTTATTTTTTTGTACCATAGCAAAAATACAAAGCATGAAAAACGCAGTTCCCAAAAATGACAAGAAGAGGAGGAAACAGCTGACAGAAGACATCGCCAAACTAGAGGCCGAACTCTCTCAAAAACATGAAAATGAGCTCAAACTTCAGAACACTTCTTCAGTAAGTCAAAATAAAAAAACAAATGTTATTAGACATAAAAAACTGGATAGAAACCTTACAGCCAACAATATAAATGGCACCTCACTCATACTTGCATTGTTCCAAGGTGGAAGAGGTTTCAGTTGCATTGGATTCTATGAGTGTAGCAAATCATGAGGAACAATCTGATCCAAGCAAGCAAAGTCGGACATCCAAAGCCCAGAAGAGGCGGGTGAGTTCATTTTCATTTTACATACTTAAAGGGATAGTTCACAAAAAAAAGAATTGTATTTGTCATCAGTTACTTACTTTATATCTATACGTTTCTTTCTTCTGTTGAACACTAAGGAAGATATTTTGAAGAATGCTAAACTTGTAACCATTGTCTTCCATAGTGTTTGTTTTTCCTACCATGTCAGTCAGTGTTTACAGTTTATAAGCTTTCTTTTAAACATCTTCTTTCATGTTCAACAGAAGAAAGAAACTCATAAATGTTTGGAATCACCTGAGGCAGAGTAAATAGTGAGAGAAATTAGATTTTTAGTTTGTTGTTGTAGGAGCCATTTGGCAACTCTGCTCATTGTTCCACTAGGTGGTGCTCTTTAACAGGCTTTATAAGTGGGAACGAACATTCAGGTAACAGGTGTTGCTAGACGGAAGGGAGCACATACAGTTTTGACCACACACTTTCAAACACACACACTTTCAAACACACACACTTTCAAACGCACACACTTTCAAACGCACACACCCACAAACACAAACAAACGCTCACGCGCATTCACACAGAGAGCCACACACATTCATTCATGCTTTAGCATGACGGTTTGTTTTGTTTGTAAGTCACGATATGTGGCAGTGTTTGACTTCTACAGACGGAAACTTACCTGGAAGAAAATTTGTGACTATTGGAGTTTGCAACTGCAATAAACGTAAACATCTTCGGAAACAAGTAAGACTGTTCGTTTCATTTACACTACATCAACCAGAGGACAGTGTGCGTCAGCTGGGTGCCTGTCTAACAACATCTCAGGGACTTCAAGCAATAGGCTTAGCCTCTACAATCAAGTCAAAACTATCGCTTCGCATCGCGGACCCGCCGGGAGTTGCGCCGGACCAGAAGATTCATGCCGGTTGTGTCTGAATGGAGGCCACAAAGTTATCGGCATACTGGGTCTGCTGTGGCGTGTTTGCTCTGCGCTTTGGAGGACGTCGGACGACGCTTTTCATCAGCACTGCACGACGTGAGTTCTACGCAGATGGTCTTCATATTCGCTGGACAACGGCGCCCAACGCAAGGTATGTGTAGCGCTACAATGCAATGAATGGCCATTCAGTTTGTGTTCAATTTGCGGGGCAAAATCTAATGCATTGGTGACACAAGGGGCGGGTAATTAACGTCGATTTTCTCCGTGAACTCTGCTACTGTTTTGCGAACTTATCGTGAACGCGTGAAATAGGTCATGGAGACAAATGAAACGATCGACAGGCCTGCCGAGCCGTCCGTAGAAATAAACACTATCGAACATGATAATGATGCGCAAACATCAAAAGAAAAACGCGTTGTTAAACTGACTGCTAAAGCGCTCGCTGATAAACTGGGACGTTTGCAAAATGAAAGGAAAACTAAGCTGAATAAGGCAGCCAGTTTAAGAAATGTGTTGAATGGTTTGATTGAAAAGGGAAATGTTGTACAAGCTCAATGTGTATTTGATGATTTTATTAAGGTCTGTGATGAATCAAAAGGTGTTCATGAGTGTTTGATGGGTATGTTACCTGATACTGAACAAGAAAAACATGATGTGTGGTTTAAAGCCAAAATGATCGCCAATAATGAGCTCATTTCTAAGGTGCAATTGTGGTTATCAAATTCTGGTCAAAATGTGAGTGTTGGTCCTACTGGTAGCCAAATTGGTGATGGTATTAATCCAGAGGATAGTGTTTCAAATGCAACTAGTAAACGCTCAGGGAAAAGTGCAGGTAGTAAATCAAGCACTACTTCTTCTGTGCGAATTAAAGCACAAGCGGAAAAGGCTGCATTGCTTGCTCGTATAGCAGCTTTAAAGGAAAAGCATGCATTGGAAGAGCAAGAGCAGCAGATAAAGAGAAAATTAGAGCAACAGGAGTTGGATACTATGTTGGCTGAAACTGCTGCCAGACTGTCCGTGCTCGAAGCTTCTGATAATTTCTGCAGTGAAAATGCATCTGATACTATGAATTCTTACTTGACGAGAGAAACACAAAGTTTAGCACCTCCACACAAACTGGACCCGATGGCAAGTGAATTTAAATGTGCGCCTCAAAGTAAACCACAACAAACACAGGAGTGGACATCATCATCAACAACCCCCCCACTTTTAGCCGGAGCGCTACATCAAGCTAGTCAACAGCCCACCACTAGACCAAAGGAGTGGTCTGATTTAAATAAACAAACAACTGAAATCAACCGAAATTTACATCAGCAATCAACCCAACTTAATGTGCCAAATACAAATCAAAGGTATACAGGAGGATCTAGTTCAGGGGTGCACTGGAGGAATAATACAACATCACTTGTTCAACAACAGCATTTGATATCCTTGCCAGCAAGAAATATCCCTTTGTTCGATGGAGATCCTCTACAATATGTCTCCTTCATGAGAGCTTTTGAACAAGGAGTGGAAGAAAAGGCTAGTAAGAGCGACTGTTTGTACTATCTGGAACAGTTCACTAGGGGGCAACCAAGAGAGCTTGTTCGCAGCTGTTTGTATATGACGCCTGAGCTAGGTTATGATAAAGCAAAGCAGCTGGTACAGGAACACTTTGGCTGTAAGTACAAGATTGCTGTGGCGTACATTGAAAAGGCTTTATCTTGGGCTCCAATAAAGAATGAAGATGTTAATGCTCTACAGGCTTACTCTCTCTTTCTGCGAGGCTGCTGCAATGTTATGGAGGAACTTCAGTATATGCATGAGCTGGATATGCCAAGTAACATAAGGGCAATTGTCTTAAAGCTGCCATTTAAACTTCGAGATCAATGGAGGACTGCTGCACATGACTTACAGGAAACCACAGGAAACAGAGCCTTGGTCAATGACCTGGTGAGAGTTATAGAAAGACATGTTCAAATTCTGTCTGATCCATTGTATGGCAATATTAGCGACTCACCATCTGCAACAACTGGTCAAAGAGCTGTCAATAGGCCACGAGTATCTCCAGAACAAAGAACTAAAGGAAAAAGCTTTGCTACTACCATTACACCTGTGAAAGTTGAGTGTACCACAGGATCAAGGACCATCTCACCTAGACATAACTCTGCATCTGCTTTATTCTGTGCATACTGTTCTCAGAGTCATCTATTAGAACATTGTCAACAGTTCAAATGCAAAAAACACAGAGACAAGATTAATTTTCTGAAGGAGAAACACCTCTGCTTTGGTTGTTTGAGTACTTCACACATGAGTCGTGACTGTGAGAAACGCCTAACTTGTAAAATATGCAGCCAAAGCCATCCTACTGTACTTCATATTAACAAGAGCGACACAGCTAGCATGCATAAAGCGCATGTTGCTAAGGTCACAGTAAGTACTTCTACTCAAATTGACAAAGATATTACATCACACTCATTCGCTTCAACTGCTGAGACTTGTGGACATACAGGGGCCGGAGCAGATCAGTGTCTGTTATCCATTGTGCCAGTCCAAGTCAAGTCCATCAAATCTGATCAGGTAATACTGACATATGCATTCTTGGATCCTGGCAGCTCCGCCACCTTCTGCTCAGAACAGCTTATGCAAAAGCTTCATCTTACTGGGAAACGAACCCAGTTCCTCTTATGCACTATGGGGCAAGAAAGGGTGGTGCCAGCATATTCACTCACAGGACTGGAAGTGTCTGGTATTAATGGTAATGTCTTCCATGAACTTCCTCAAACCCTAACACAAAAGAAAATGCCCGTAAACACTGATAACATTGTTACTGCTGAAACTCTGGTAAAATGGCCATACCTGGTAGGGTTAACACCTCCCAAGATAGAAGCTAACGTAGACCTGTTGATTGGAAGCAACGCACCAAGGTTGTTGGAACCTTGGGAGGTTATTAATAGCCATGGGAATGGCCCATATGCTATAAGGACCGTGTTGGGATGGGTCATTAATGGTCTTGTGCATGGAGAAGACTCCTGTCTTAATGCTGAATGTAGGTCAGCTGTAGTTAACAGGGTTTCAGTATGTAAATTGGAGAAAATGCTGAATAACCAGTATAATCATGACTTTAATGAAAGAGTCACAGAAGAGAAAGGGCTATCAAGGGAAGACAAGAAGTTCATGGATATTGTGGAACGATCTGTAAGACTTAAAGACAACCATTATCAAATTAAACTGCCTCTTAAGAAAGACGTGCATCTGCCCAATAACTTTGCTGTGGCAAAACAAAGGCTAACAAGTCTAAAACGAAAGTTTCTGCAGAATGAACATTTCTTCAAAGAGTACCGCAATAAAGTCAACGACATGTTACTCAATGGTTTTGCAGAGAAAGTACCTACCCAGCAGTTAAGTGGCAGCAGTGGTAAAGTGTGGTACATTCCTCACCACGGAATATATCATCCCAGGAAGAAAAGTCTGCGTGTGGTATTTGACTGTTCTGCATCATTTAAAGGATCATCATTGAATGAACAGCTCCTGCAAGGTCCCAACTTTAATAGCACACTGATTGGAGTCCTCCTGAGGTTTCGGCAAGAACCTGTGGCATTCATGGGGGATGTGCAAGCAATGTACTATCAAGTTAAGGTTCCAGAGGAGGATAGAGACCTTCTGCGGTTCTTGTGGTGGCCTGAGGGAGATCTCACGAAAGATGCGTCAGAATTCCGCATGACTGTCCATTTATTTGGTGCGGTATCATCTCCAAGCTGTGCCATCTTTGCTCTGAGGAAAACAGCTGATGATAATCAGGCTGAATTTCCAGCAGAAATTCCACAAACTGTCAAAGAAAACTTCTATGTCGACGACTGCTTGAAGAGTGTAGAATCTGAGAAGAAAGCTGTAACAATGATCAAACACCTGACCACGCTCTGCCAAAAGGGAGGATTTACCTTGACAAAGTGGGTAAGCAACAGTTGCTATGTACTGCAAGCCATGCCACAGGAATATAGAGCTAAGGGTGTGGAAGAACTTGACATGGACCGAGATGAACTTCCCATGGAAAGAGCCCTTGGATTACAGTGGTGTGTTCAGAAGGACACATTTACATTCAAAATGGCACCTTGTCAACGGTCCTGTACTAGACGTGGAATGCTATCTGTCTCCAGTTCAGTGTATGACCCACTTGGTTTCCTGGCACCAATTCTACTACCTGCAAAGATAATGCTGCAAGAATTGTGCAGAAGAAACTATGGATGGGATGAAACGGTACCTCAAGAGCTACTACACCGCTGGACAAGATGGATAGAGGAGTTGGAAATGCTGTCTAACTTTGAGATTAATAGATGCATCAAGCCCAAAGACTTTGGAACTGCCATACATGCTGAGCTTCATCATTTCTCAGATGCTAGCGAACTAGGATATGGGGCAGTTACCTATCTCAGGATCCAAAATAGCAAAAACGTCATCCACGTTGCATTTGTGATGGGCAAAGCCAGAGTTACACCTTTAAAGACTGTTACCATTCCCCGTCTAGAGTTAACAGCTGCAGTTCTTGCCGTTCGTATGGATCTGATGCTGAAAAAAGAGCTGCAAATCCCACTGGCAGAATCAATATTCTGGACAGACAGCACATCAGTGCTTAAGTACATAAATAATGAAGACAGACGTTTTCATACGTTCGTGGCTAATAGGGTCACCATTATAAGAGAAGCAACAACAACTTTACAGTGGCGGTACATTCGTTCCAAGGAAAACCCAGCAGATGATGCATCTAGAGGTCTGAGGGTGGGTGACTTCATTGAACACAATAGGTGGATAGTAGGTCCAAGTTTCTTGTATAAGTCAGAAGAGGATTGGCCAGCTGATAGAGCTGACATGGTGATCAAAATTGATGATCCGGAAATAAAAAGAGAAGTTTTAGTTAACGCAGTAAGTGTAACTGACTCCTCAGATAGCACCACTCGTTTAATTGCGCATTTCTCAGATTGGAAGAGATTGAGGGTAGCCGTAGCTTGGTTTCTTAAGTATAAGAGAATGCTTCAGGAACGGTCTCACAAGAGGAAAGAGTCTAAGACTTCTTATGTGGGTATGCAGAGCGTTCCAGTGCATGAAAGGTGCACTTTGTCCATTGAAGACATAAGTGAGGCAGAGCTTGCCATTATACGCTTTTGCCAACAGCAACGATTTAGTGAGGAAATCGCTACCTTGTCAGCTGGAAAAGGAACTGTGAGTAAGCAAAGCCCTCTGTACAAACTGGATCCACGTTTGGATAACGGACTTCTAAGAGTCGGTGGGCGACTAGCCAGAGGTTCACTACCAGAGGAAGCTAAGCATCCACTGATTTTGTCCAAAGATCAACATATAGCTACTCTCCTCCTGCGAAATATTCATGAACGGCTCGGACATAGTGGTCGAAACCACATACTGTCCACATTACGAAGGAAATATTGGATCACAGGTGCTAATTCGGCAGTAAGAAAGATAATGTCTGACTGTTGTCTCTGCAGAAGACAAAATGGTCGAATGATGCTACAGAAGATGGCAGACTTGCCCATGGAGAGGATTCTTCCGGACAAACCACCATTCACCAACACTGGGGTTGACTACTTTGGTCCTATAGAGGTGAAGAAAGGACGAGGCACTGCCAAGCGATATGGAGTGATATTTACTTGCCTGTCTAGTAGAGCAGTTCACCTTGAAATAGCCAACTCGTTGAATACAGACGCATGCATTAATGCAATACGTCGGTTTGTCTGTAGAAGAGGTCAAGTTGTTAATTTACTGTCTGACAATGGTACCAATTTTAAAGGAGCAGAGAAGGAACTCAGAGAGGCACTCCTAACCTTGAACCAGACAAATATTGGAGGAATGCTACAACAAAAGGGCATCAAATGGAGTTTCAATCCTCCTTCAGCGTCGCACTATGGTGGTGTTTGGGAGCGTATGATTCGCATGGTGAGAAGAATTCTCTCTTCAGTCCTTCATCAACAAAAATTAGACGATGATGGACTCCACACAGTAATATGCGAAGTTGAAGCCATCTTAAACGACCGCCCCATCACCAAGTTATCTGACGATCCAAATGATCTAGAACCCCTGACACCTAATCATATCCTCCTCATGAAAGGTAAGCCGTCTTTGCCACCAGGGCTGTTTGAACATCATGATCTGTACATCAGAAAGCGATGGAGGCAAGTTCAGTACATATCTGATCTCTTTTGGAAACGGTGGATTCGTGAATACCTGCCATTATTGCAAGAGAGGCAGAAATGGAACGAACAGAGAAAAAATCTCAAACCAGGAGATATCGTGATCATTATGGATCCTACAGCACCACGAAGCTCATGGCCTCTTGCAAGAGTGCTGGAAGCATTTCAAGACAAGAAAAAGATTGTGCGTTCAGTGCGGCTTCAGACCAAAAGTAGTATAATAGAACGGCCTGTGACTAAACTCTGCCTATTGCAAGAATCAGTTTAGCTTATCTACTATTAAAGTGTCTCCACTGGGTTATTGTGTATTTGAAGTATTATGTATGTGCACCTATTATTGCCTGATGTTCTTTTATGGCTCCTTAATATTATATTTGGGAATTGTTACATTTGTATACAATTAGGGGCCGGGATGTAGGAGCCATTTGGCAACTCTGCTCATTGTTCCACTAGGTGGTGCTCTTTAACAGGCTTTATAAGTGGGAACGAACATTCAGGTAACAGGTGTTGCTAGACGGAAGGGAGCACATACAGTTTTGACCACACACTTTCAAACACACACACTTTCAAACACACACACTTTCAAACGCACACACTTTCAAACGCACACACCCACAAACACAAACAAACGCTCACGCGCATTCACACAGAGAGCCACACACATTCATTCATGCTTTAGCATGACGGTTTGTTTTGTTTGTAAGTCACGATATGTGGCAGTGTTTGACTTCTACAGACGGAAACTTACCTGGAAGAAAATTTGTGACTATTGGAGTTTGCAACTGCAATAAACGTAAACATCTTCGGAAACAAGTAAGACTGTTCGTTTCATTTACACTACATCAACCAGAGGACAGTGTGCGTCAGCTGGGTGCCTGTCTAACAACATCTCAGGGACTTCAAGCAATAGGCTTAGCCTCTACAGTTGTAGGTTGTTAAATGTTGTTGTTGTTCAGGACAAGAAGGCTGCTCTTGAGAAGGAGCGAGAGATGCGGATTGCGGAGGCAGAGGTGGAGAATCTCAGCGGCTCTCGTCATCAGGAGGGTCTAAAGCTGCGTGAGAAGCTGGTGGAGAGACATCTGCAGATTAAAGAGATCTCTTCTGATGGCCACTGTATGTACCGCGCTGTGGAGCATCAGCTGACGGAGAGAGGACTCGCTCTCGGTCTGAAAGAGCTTCGGGATCAAACTGCTCAGTACATGAGGAGCCATGCAGATGACTTCATGCCCTTTCTTACAAACCCTAATACAGGAGATATGTACACTGCAGGTGAGTGCCACGAAATAAAGCCGCTTTTCCACTGCATACGACATTCGGACACGTCAGTCGCACAGAATTTTCAGTTTTGTCGTGCACTATCGTAGAGAAGCTTATTCTAGCAGTGTCCAAAATAAGAGTGCAAATGCAAGTGCATTCACCATGGTTGAATGAAGGAATGATTGAATACTAGAAGTTCATTAAGTAAGAAGTAATTAAAAAAATACTATATTTTTTATTACTCATTTATGAATAGAAATGTGTTATTAAATATAGACTTTTATAGTTAAGAAGTAACAAAAAATGACTAATAATTCTCATCTGATGCACACAGACCTGATTGGACAACACTGGAATACATCACATCTGGTCGCATACAGTCTAGTGCCAGAAGTTCAAATATTTTAACCGATCCGCAGCTTAAATCGGATCCGAATTGTCCGTATTCAGACATGATCAGCACTCAGCCCAGCTCTCAGACTACTCTGCATTTGAAATGAATGAATTCCTGTCTGTCGTTTGTTGTTTGCATTGGAAAGGTGGCTCATGTCATACATTTTACAATGACTCACAGAAGAGATTACAGGCATATTCAGAATCTTTTGATTTTATTAAAGACTTTATTACTCAGTGTAGCCCATAAACCACAGGTTTCATAGCCAGTTTCTGGAGAGCCGAAGCTCTGCGCAGTTTAGTTCCAACCCTAATGAAACGCACCTGGTCAAAGAAATTGAGTCCTTCAGGCTTGTTTGAAACCTTCAAGTGAGTGTTGAAGCAGGAATGGAACTAAACTGTGCAGAGCTGCGGCCCTCCTGGAACATCCAAGTTCATTCTTGTTAACATTAGATAATACATTGTGAGATAACATGAACTAACAATGAACCACTGTATTTTGCTTAGCTAACTAACATGAGTAAATACTATAATAAATGTGTTGTTTACAGTTTTTTCATGTTAGTATGCATTAACTAATACAACCTTATTGTAAAGTGTTATTGTTTACATTTCTCAAAATGGTCTATAATGAGTCTATGAGTCGTGTTTGTACTATTTAATTTAACGTGGATGCCAATATTGGACGTTTTGTATAGTAGCAGCATAATAGTAAAAGTAAAATTCAGAAATAATATATGGCATTACAAATTGAAACAACTGCTTTCTGTTGTACATATTTTCAAAAGTGATTCATTATCCTAGTTAGCCATGGGATGATAACCGTTTTCAAGGTATTCTACGGTGTAAGTATTTTAAAAGAATTTTTTTGTGTGTTTTTAGGACAGCTATCTCCAGCAGAAAAGATACCTTAAGATGTTGTTTTAAATTGTAAAGAAATCCGTGTTTTTGAAACTAATGAAGTCAATGATATTTTGAATTATTTAGCTTGACATGTTTACTGTTCCAAAATATTTTTAATGTTTTTCAAAATAAAATATATTGTGTTCAAAAGGGGAAAAAGTTTTTGCTTTTTACTTAGACAATTTAAAAGAACATATTTTTGAGCAGTAATAACAATACCATATAACCGTCATATTTTTATCCAAGGTTATTATACTGTCAGAATCTTTTACCAACCAATGCCTAATCCTAGTATTAAGCTTTTTTTTTAGAAATCATTCTAATATGTAAAATAATTGAACAATTATAACAATCTGAAAAAGATCTGTTTGATTTAATATTATTTTTGCCAAACGAATGCATTTCCTAAAAATGAATATATATATATATATATATATATATATATATATATATATATATATTTTTTTTTTAATGATTTGCCATATGATGTTTAACAGAGCAAGGATTTTTTTTCCACAGTATTTCTTATAATAATTTTTGTTCTGGAGAAAGTCTTATTTCTTTTATTTCGGTTAGAATACATTTCTTTTATTATTATTTTAAGGTCAATATTATTAGCTACTTTAACAGGCATCATAACCACCTAGTTGACCTTTTATCCATAGGTTATCATTATTACATTAATTGCTTATTTAATTGCTCACTATTTATCAGAGTTGTGTCAGCATACTCAATACAAGATGTGGGCCAAAAATAATTCTGTTCAAGGAGTGTACCGAAAAGGGTTAAGCAATATCTTTTCGATTCTCTACAGAACAATGACTTGTACCATAACTACTTGCCTATTTAACCTTATTAACCTACTTTAGCCTTTAAATTGCACTTTAAGCTGAATACTATAATAATAATAATGATATAGAAGGACACAAATCAAAATGCTTTTTTGTTGAACGAGAGAAATATTTTCTGTTGGTGACTGTGGATTCATTTCAATTTTAGAGGAGTTTGAGAAATACTGCACTGATGTTGCAGACACCGCTGCATGGGGCGGACAGTTAGAGGTAAGATTTATCATTTAGATTCATCCAAACAACAAACATTAAAGTGTTGCATATTACAATAGACTATTTCTCTGATTTCTTTTCTTCATACTTTTAGTTGAAAGCCCTTTCCCAGGTCCTCCAGCTACCCCTAGAGGTCATCCAGGCAGATTCCCCGTGTATTACTATTGGTGAAGAATACGACAAGCCAAAAATCACACTCATGTAAATAACTGAACTTTTATGTAGTTAAATAACAATAATAATGATAATAATAATAATAATAATATTGTACATATAATTTCCTCTGCTGTGTTCTATTTCAGTTATATGCGGCATGCGTATGGACTTGGAGAGCATTACAACTCTGTGGAGCCTCTGAAAGATTTGGCAAACGAGGAAGAGGGCTGACCCGGTCACTGACACGCATTAATTTATGCATCTGTGCATAATTAGCCTGTAGAAATGGGCCGTGTGGAATTGGATTCCATTTTGCTAGGATCGGCAGAATTGAGGTTGTTCGGTCAGATGCTCACTGAAGATCCTGAAATAACCCCCTCTGGTCACTTCAGTTGCAGTGGACAAACTTAATATAACAGAGTTGTTCATGAATAAACTGTGTGCTTTGTGTTCTTATAAAACCACATATCTGCAAGTCATTTGCTCTAAAAAGCTGCTGGATCGGGCTCATAGGCCATTGAATAAAAACTTTATTAATAATAAGCTTTTGTTTTTGGGATGTGAAAATTTTATTCTGATGTGCCTACAAATACAGACTGGTGTGTTAAAATCTTGGATGTATTTTAAAGAGTGTATATTGTAAATTACACATAGACCACCTGACAAAAGTCTTGTCGTCGATTCCAGTTATAAGAGCAACAAATAGTAACTTGACTTCTTGATCATTTGGAAGTGTCAGAAGGTAGATTTCTTGATGAATCATCTGTTGAACTGCATCCCGATCATCACAAATACTGCAAAACACCTATTGGAACCCACATAGACCCAAGATTCTCATAGAAGTCAGTCAAGTTTGGTAAAGGAAAAGTCATGGTTTGGGGTAACATTCAGTATTGAGGCATATGAGAGATTTGCAGAGTGGATGTTAACATCAACAGCCTGAGGTATCAAGACATTTGTGCTGCCCATTACATTACAAACTACAGAAGAGGGCAAAATCTTCAGCAGGATAGCGCTCCTTCTCATACTTCAGCCTCCACATCAAAGTTCCTGAAAGCAAAGAAGGTCAAGGTGCTCCAGGAATGGCCAGCCCAGTCACCAGAAATGAACATTATTGAGCATGTCTGGGGTAAGATGGAGGAGGCATTGAAGATGAATCCAAAGTATCTTGATTAACTCTGGGAGTCTTGCAAGAGCGCTTTCTTTGCTATTCCAGATAACTTTATTTATATGTTTTTGAGTCATTCCAGAGATGTATGGATGCAGTCCTATTTATTTCAGTAAAATGAGCAAATCTAGAGGCCTTTGTCTTTCATATAAGTCACTTCTGATACCAAATGATTAACTAGAAGGACATTTAATATATCATAATACATTTTTTACTTTAAAATAGAAAGTTTGTAAGGATGTATATGTTCTCATTAATCAAAGAGTGTCATGGGCTTTCAGCATGTGAACCCTTTTGGCCTTTTAGAAAGTTATATTTTGTATTATTAATGTTTTAATTGCGAAAAGATTTGAAATTCCCGTTTTTCATGTATTTGTCCGTTAGGCGGCGCCAGTGCGCGCAATAAACAAGATCAGATTCTCCATGGAAACTTGAGGAAAACTTCAAATTGACGAAGCGAGTATCAATGGCAAACGATTCAATCATTAAAGCATTAAAAACCAAATCAAAGTCTCTAAATCTCAGTTCTACGAAAATTATATATCTCCCGGAAGCGCTTGAGAAACTGACGTGGATTTTGGTGTTAAAGCTGAATAATAATTTTCTGTCAAGTCTGCCGTCTGAGTTCATGCGTTTACAGAAGGTGAGTTCAAACCTGTTTATTTTCATAACAGCTTTGTTTCACACATTTAAAGACAACGACAGAACAACTTTAATTCATATTTGTACTTCGCTAAAATTATGGGCTATTACAAACATGGCAAAGTTAGCATTAAAGCATAGATAACGTTAGTCATTAAAGTGTTCAAATTGTTAACAATAACACATTTTGGTTTATTGTATAGCGTTAAATACCACGACAAACCAACTACAGCGAATCATTAATCCAAAATCTAACGTTATATCTTATTCTAATTATTTTCTTTTTGGCTTGGTCCCTTTTTTAATCTGGGGTCGCCACAACGGAATGAACCGCCAACTTATCCAGCATATGTTTTACGCAGCAGTTGCCCTTCCAGCTACAACCCATCACTGGGAAACACCTATACACTCCCATTCACACACACACACACTACAGACAATTTAGCTTACCCAATTAACCTACACCTGGACTTGGGAATGAACATGCAAACTTCACACAGAAATGCCAACTGACCCAGCCGAGGCTCGAACCAACGACCTTGTTGCTGTGAGGCGACAGCGCTCACTGTGCCACTGTGCCGCCCTCTTATATGAATTAATATAATTTAAACATACAAAATATTGCTATTTTATGCTTAATTAAAAATGTTTTTATAGGTCTAAATAGATGTCGTTGTTTTTTTTTAATAGTTTTAATTGTACTTTCAATGTATATTTTTTTCATGTGCGTCTTAAGTTGACAGAGCTCAATTTGGGAAACAATGTTCTTGAGGAGGTCCCATCTGTGTTGAAACACCTCTGCTGTCTAAATAAACTTTATTTATATGGGAACCAAATCAGCTATTTGTCAGCAGAGGTGTTGGGTAAGTTCAAACTCTTCCTTCTTAAGTGTTATTTCATTAAACCGTGTTAAATACTGTTTTACAGTTGAATTCAGAAAAACTACCCCCCCCCCCCCCCCCTGTTTATTCTAGCTGAAATAAAACAAATAAGACTATCTCCAGGAGAAAAAATATTATCAAACATACTGTGAAAATTTCCTTGCTCTGTTAAACATCATTTGGAAAATATTTTAAAAAGAAACAAAAAATTAAAGAGGGCTAATAATTCTGACTTCAACTGTATGTATTTGCAGAGGGTTTACCAAACCTTGTGCTTCTCAATTTGAATCACAACAAAATCAAAGTCATTCCCTCAGAAATAAAAAGGTAAGAGGATTCCAATCATTTTTATTTTTTACATATTTTTACTTTTTGACTGTCATGGTGTCTGATTTTTACATTTTTTTTATTTACAGTCTCTGTCGCCTACAAAGCATCAGCATCACAGACAATCATTTGGAGCAGATTCCAGCTGAACTGGGTTTGATGAAGAGTCTGACTGAGATTAACTTCACTAATAATAAACTGACTCAAATACCACAACAGTTATGTGATTTATCACAGCTCAGGAGGTTGTATTTGGCCCGAAACAAGCTCACAGAAATACCAGAGGCAAGAGAGTGAACCATCATTATACTTGAACCATTGTTTATGCATAGTAGTTCATTATGTGTTCATTTTTTTTTTTTTGCTTAGGGAGTTCTTGGTTGGAAAAACCTGAAGATCTTAGATGTTGCAGGAAATCGTTTATCTGTGTTTCCATTTGATGTAAGACATTTTGACAACTTTTTATTTACTACTACTACTACTAATAATACATATATACTGTATGTATGCATGTATATATATATATATATATATATATATATATATATATATATATATATATATATAAAATATATAAATATCATATATATATATATATATATATATATATATATATATATATATATATATATATATATATATATATATATATATATATATATGATAATAGAAATACATTAGCTAATTGTACATGTTAATTAGTGGGATATCGAATATTCAAACATTACAAGAATATTTATCGTTTCTTAAATTTACTTGATAAAAAATCAGTAGATTTGACAGCAAACAAAAACACCACCTATTTTTTTGTTATATTTTAACTTTTAGTTGAACAAAATGTACAATTTTATAACATTCTAGCAACAACAAAAGACTTGCAGTTGATTTTTCTGCAATTTTTTAAACATAATTTAGTGTCCTTATAGATTTTTTTTACTAAACCTGATATATGTTTGCGTTTATGTTAACATTTTAATATCTATAAATAAATCAGACGAAAATAGACATATATGTTAATATTTATAAGTCTAAATATTATATATAAAGTAGATCATTTTTAGTCATTTATCTTTTATAATATATGAATTAAATATATTTCATTGTTACTCTTTAATGTTAAGTTTCAGTTTCTCACACTGGATGAACTGTTCTTTGAAGGAAACAGTTTAGTCCCATTCTCACTGATGGAGTCAATTCAAGAGAAAGAGATCCTCACATTAAAGGTAACTAATGGCGATTATTGAATTCAATTCAGCTTTATTTGTATAGCGCTTTTACAATGTAGATTGTGTCAAAGCAGCTTCACATAAATGGTCATAGTAACTGGAACAGTGTGGTTCAGGTTTTAGTGTTTAAGTTCAGTTCAGTTCAGTTTAGCTCAGTTCAGTGGGATTTAATCATTACTGAGAGTTCAAACACTGAAGAGCCAATTATTTGTTCTTTTTTCATAATATATAGTACCTTTAATGTTAATCTGACATTATTTCACAAATCAGTTTAGTATTTGCTACAAGATGGCTGCAGTTTACTTTGATTTGATCTTTTTTTAGACATTCTGCTGACTATACGTAAATTAGCCCCTATATCTATTCAGTTGAGTATTAGCAAAGACGTTAGAATACACAAGACATGTCACATGTATCTTTTTGAATGAGGAAAAGTGTAACAGTCAATATGGTGAATAAAGCCCTGCCTGCTAGTACAAAAGCCAATCATCCATCGCTATATGGCGAATAAACCCCTCCTTCTAGTACAGGAGCCAATCATCGATCTCTGTATGGCGAAAAAAGCCCGCCTTCTAGTACAGGAGCTTATCATTGATCGCTCTAGACTGGCAATTCTCTGGGGGAGAGGCTCGGAAAAGATGTGAGTTTCTGCAGATTTTGTGTGATTTAGATGTTTAGAAATGAAGCTAAAAACACAGTTGTTAATTTTTTTGGTAATAATACCTAATATGAAATTCAATGGTAAGCTTGGCAAGCAGTTTTGGAGAATTTGATGTTTCCCCATTCAGACAGAATCCCCGAGCATACTGCCCAAGAGGTGTTTCAAAGATGGCCGCCGAGTGATATGACTTGCCTTAAAGGGACTTTGGTATTAGTAAAGTTTGCTTGAAGGGGATTGTTCACCCAAAAACAATTACATTTACTCACCCTTAAGTTATAAAGCATAATAAGTTTCTTTCTTCCACAAAAGAAGATATTTTGAAGAAACTGAAAACTTGTAAGCACTGACTTCCATAGTAAACAAATATTGTGGAAGTCAATGGTTACAAGTGTCTAGCTTTTATCATCAAAATATCTTATTGATATTTAGCTTTTATTTATTTCTTTTATTTTTTTTTTCTGTTTACTGTTGCTCATGTTTTGGGCTGTACATATCAATCGGACTGGGAAAAACATTAAGAGTACTAAAAAGTCAATTAAATTCCAACCAATCATGCAAATAAGGCCTGTCAACAGTACAGTACAGTATTTAGTCTTGAATGAACCATAACTCTTCTATACTGGTGCTGACTGTTAGTTTATTGTGTTCAGGAACTCTCAGCCAGGCTCATTCTCCAGGAGAGCACTAATATATTGTCAGCGGTATACAGATCTCTGCCAATGTATCCAGAGCTGCAGGACATGCTATCTCACTGGAGTCAATGTGCCTTGTGTTCACAACCCTTCCTCACCACCTGGTTGGAGTGTGTGCAGTTCATCAACACCAGGAAGGTATCAGTTCATTCTGCATATCCCCAAGGATCAGCATTCAGAGCCTCTAGCAGTACATGTTGCAGTAGTTAAAGGGACAGTTTACCATAAAAATAAATATTTGCTCTAAAATTGGCTCACCCTCAGGTCATTCAGGATGTAGGTAAATTCAACATTAGGGAGGTTTGTTGATTAATGTATGCAATTCAATGGTCAAATACACTTTGTGAGTAAAAAACAAACAAACATACAGGCTAAACGAAATTAATACCCATAAAATGTGTTTAAGCTTTGGAATAATAGTAATTTTTTACATTTATATAGCACTTTTTTGGACACACAAAAGCACTATACTGCACCAAACCAAACACTCATTGGACAGAGTGATGAAGCCAATTATGATATGGGAATGGTTAAGACTTGGCCAGGATGCAAGAGTTAAACCCTACTTTTTTTCAAAGGACGTCCTGGGATTTTTAACAACCACAGAAAGCCAGGACCCCAGTTTAACGTCTCATCCGAAAGACAGAGCTCACTGAGCAGTATAAAGTCCCCTTCACTATAGAACACACATAGACCACAGGTTTAGCACTCCCTGCTGGCCTCACTAAGACCACTAGCAATCTAGCTTTTTCCTTGTGGTTTCCCATCCAGGTACTGGCCAGGCACTGCCCTTCTTAGTTTCAGTGGGCAACCATGTGGGAGTTGCAGAGAACTAGCTGCCAGATCAATTTGAGATTTTTTTTAATGCTGCATTGATCTGTCTTTTTTTTTTTTTAATATGAATTTTATTTAGGTAAATGTATTTTTATTTATTTTTTTACTTTAAGTGGCCTGTACCTGCTGGCTTGGATATTTTATGAATCATCAAATAAAACTTTTGTTATGATCAGCTGAAGGAAAACTACCCCTGAGATGGCCTGATGGGTAGTAAAACAACTAATTAAAGTAAATTTAAATGGGGGGAAGGGGGATACGTCATGATTTTCCCAAGTATGAAGCAATCCTGGATTAAAAACCACAACAATCCCTAAACCCAACCGCTACTGTAAATTATTTCCAAAATCAGATGGCAATAATAGTTGGATAACAATCATGTAGAAGTGCATAAACCTAACCGTGAGCCTAAAATTATGGTAAATGTATCCCTTAATTCTGATTGGCTGATTGGAATATTGTTCAAGGATCAACATAGATGCTAATCCAGGAACATATCCTACTTGGTGAAATGCAAATAGTAAGAATTTGATTGAAGATTATTTTATTTTTTTAAATTTTTCACCTTGGAAATAACAATGTGAGCTAACAAAATAAACATTGTACATATATTAAATATATTAATCAGGCACAAATCACAACACACAGACTGAGAGAACTAATTACAATGTTGAGAGGAAAAAATACTGTGATGCTCACACTGATCCAACAATTGTCACACACAATAAATAATTAAATGATCCTTCTCAGGGTCAAAAACATATTTACATTAGGCCTATATCTGGTCCCTGATCAGATTAAGTGAGAGTTTGTAGACATTTGTTGGAATATCCTATCATACTATTCAGACCTTCCATAATGCAAAAGAAATGTAGAATAAATATGTACAGTCTGCTGAAAACTACCTCTGACCAACATACTGATCCAACAGGGTCCAAGACTTGGTTGCTGGCGTTCGTCTGTGCGGTGTAAATTGGCCTTGATTCCCATTTGAATCACTTGATCAAACTGAACTTGTTAACAAAGGTTTGGCAATGGAACCACACCTCACTTTGTCTCCTTAACCAATCACGTACTTCCTAAAACTTATTTAAGGAAGACCAGCCCTCTAGCACTGTTCTTCTCGTTCTTTCGAACCCACCCTCTCTCCCTCTTTTTCCTCGCTTCCCATTCGCAATCCTAATACCCTCTCTTCACTCCTAGGTTGAATTGGGGGATTCAACCACTCTACCAAAACATTACAGTGACGGTACCCCCACTCTGAGTCTCTGGGCATCATCATAGGACGCCCGATCAACCTACCTACCTGTTCACTGTTTATACTCTTACTTCCCTTACCCTGCATTACCCCTTCATCCCTACAATAAAATCTAGCTTAAAGTGTGGGGTGGTCCATGCTGGTGAACTGGGTCATAATTCAAATTGTGTCATAATGTGTTTGTTCTATTGTCTTTGAACAGCACATGGGGATGAAAAGCTCTCAATCTGTTCCAGTGAGGGTTGTGCTGTGCTCCTATGACTGCTTCAACAGGGATGACCACCAATACTATGGACTTGTCCGATTAAATTAAAAATACTTCTGTTTTTCACCTCATGAGTGTCCATGAAGATCATGATTTATTATAAAGAATATATTTGATGTTTGTGCAATGCAGTGGTTCAGTTTAGTCATGTGCGATACCACTGATATCCTATCCAATCCGATAGCAAGTAAAATAAAGGTGAGTATCGGCGATACCGATCTGATTCCGATACTGCCCAAAAATTACTGTTTGGGAAATTAAATGAACAAGTAGTGTACTTAAAAGTGTCACTTGCGTATTCTTGCTTATTGATGAAAAATTATCATACAAAAAAGCCAACTTACATATTTATTGACAGTATCTGAGCATGTATATCTTACGCCTGCCTGAACATCTTAAAAAAACAATCACACTTCTACGTTTAGTGACATGTTAATCCAGTTCTCATGAAAGTGTATTGAACCTTTTTTCGTTGTTTTATTATTGTCACAAAAAACCCCAAGACCCCTAATACAGCCACATCGCCGCATTTTCTCCCTCTGTACCTGGATGGTGCCTGCCTGCTGCACCTAAGGACTCTGAAAGTGATGTCTGTCTTACCCTAGCAGCACCTGTACCTCTCCTTTCCTCCTCGTTTGACCGCCTAGTCATGACGTTGTCACATTCTGTCTTGTGGTTTCTATGTAGATGTTTGATTAGGTTTGTAGTATTACCACAGCACCTCACTGTGTTGTTACACGTGTCATAAACCGAAACATTTGAGTTTATGGAAGTGAAGTAGCTCCACTCGTAACTTCGCATTTGCCAGGCCAGCAGACTAATTTTGTAGCTGGCGTGCTCTGAGTCTGCAGTTCCATATTATCCATAGTCGTACAGTGCCATATTACGCACATGACTTTGCAGGAAGAAGAACAAGTAGTCCGACTAATTTGGCATTATTCAGAGAAACTAGGGTAATTGTGGTTACTTTCTGCTGTGTTTCTATTTCCAATAATATACATATTTGCTCCAAATTACTGAAATATCGATATTTTGATAAGATAATCGATTCTAGAACATACAAAGCTGGTATCGGAGATATCGATATTTTAGTATCGATCCACACATCAGTGGTTTGCACTGTCACCTCACAGCAAGAAGGTTGCTGATTCGAGTCTCGGCTGGGTCAGTTGGCATTTCTGTGTGGAGTTTGCATGTTCTCCCCATGTTCGCATAGGTTTCCCCCACAGTCCAAAGACATGCACTATAGGTGAATTGAATGAACTAAATAGACCGTAGTGTATGTGAGTGCATATTAGAGTGTGTGAGTGTTTCCCAGTACTGGGTTGCAGCTGGAAGGGCATCGCTATGTAAAACATATGCTGGATAAGTTGGCGGTTCATTCCGCTGTGGTGACCCCTGATGAATAAATGGACTAATCCGAAGGAAAATGAATGATGAGTGAATGTTTGTGTAATACACCAGCAGATGGCAATATTTGATCACTGACAATCTTTGATTGTACTGTCAGACTGACATGCGCTGAATAGAATCATTCATATATTTTATGCATAAATCTGACAATAATGTGCATGGATTGTTAAATTCTCATTCCTTTATCATAGTCAACAATTGAAAAGAACATTGTGACTTTTTTTCACAACAGTTAAATTAAATGTTTTATTTAAACTCTTTTTATTTTATTTTTATGATTATACATTTCTCACACAGAGCGGATTTTTTAAGTATCTGAAATCACCACCGGCGATGACTAATTCTGACATTTTGTTTTCCATGAATATTTTCCCCCTTTTCTATAGTCTGGTTTTATGCTTGCCATTATAATTCCCTACAATGAGTGCACTCCATACCTTCCCCTCTGTTTGGGCCAATGGCATCTGTTCTAACCTGAGAGGAAACTTCATCTCTCCAAATTAATTTCTCATGCAGGCCTCCTGAGCTCAGAGCAGAGTCTACCGAGTTGGGCCTAATGAATAATGCAGCAGGTTTAATTGCAAAGCCAGAAACTAATGACTTTGGACTGGTTAACAGCAGGGGAACCATACATCTCTGCAAACTGAATGAAAAATCAGCTCAGAAAAAAAAGAAGGGAGGGAGAAAACGCTAATTGATGAATAATTAAAGCTTGAGCTACAGGGCATAATTGTGACATTTTGTTTCAATCAATTTGGAAGTGCGGGGAAAAGTGCACTTAGGAAACTAATGGTGACTGTGTGGATGTCCACTGAAAAGTGCCACGAGACTCAGTCATTCATTATACAGTCCTCAGTCAAGCTCAGCCATTATTCTGGAGCAGTTGCCTCAATTTCCAAGTGATTGTGCACTTGGCGGGCGTTAATGCGCCTCACAAATGCTATATGGACTCGCTGTGAAAGGAGGAGAGGAGATAGTGTAAACAAGTCTGTTTCAGTCTGATGTTACTCAATTACTTTCTCTGAGGCGAATGCACCGACAAGCCCAAAGCTGTCAGGAGAGCCGCCCGCTCGACCATGATAACACTGTATTGTAGTCAAAACGTCAGCAAAATCAATCAAACACAAGACACAGCTCTCAATGAAGCACTTCCCTAGTATTAAGATCACAACTGTCTTTGTGCATCAAGAAGAGTACAAACAGAGGTTTTGTTCATGGTTTGACACGTTGATGAAAAACCAGTTCATCCAGAAGTTTGTTGTTGAGTCACAGGGTTGAATTGGGGTGACACGGTGGTGCTGTGGGTAGCACTGTCACCTTACAGCAAGAAGGTTGCTGGTTCGAACCCCGGCTGGTTCTGTTGGCATTTCTGTGAGTTCAAAGACATGTGCTGTAGGTGAATTGAATAAGCTAAATTGTCCGTAGTGTATGTATGTATATCCTGGTACTCAAGTTTTGGGGTTGAGCGTTGGGCTAACAACCCACCTCATAAAAACTAAATGTTACAAAACCAATATGGTGCCGCTAAATATCAACTCTGATATTAAATGACCATGGGAGGAGGTATGTATTTAGGTATCAGTCATATTGATTTCAATATCTTGCTGATTTTAGCCTCTCAAAATGCACTGATACATTACATTAAGAAATCATACCATTACAAGTTTATTGTTTAGCTGTCACTTTTTCATGCTGTTTTAGCAGCTACACAGCTATATGGCACAAGGCCATATGTGATCACAGCTTTTCTGTCACAATAGCAGTTTAGTGAGGTATTGATTTTATACAAATATTTAACAAACAATTTCAATCTGAAAGTTGTGACATGTTGCCAAGTATGGTGTTCCATACCAAAGTCCCTTTAAGGGAAATTAATTTCCCTCGGCGCCCATCTTATGATTAAATTACATATTTGGAACCATCAATAAATTAAACAGCAACTGTGTTATAAGTTTATTTTCTAGATGTTTGAATCAAACAAAATCAGCATTTTTTCAGGTTGCCCAGGCTAATGCGCATGTGCACTGAAATCAAGATCACGACACCAACCTCATTTATATGCGTTTTACACATTATCATTCTCTGGATAATACTTCATCTGATCGCGCTGCTCTTCTGAAGTAATTCACAACTTAGTCTTGATGGTGAATCTCCTCCAGAAATAGCAGCGACTCTTTGTTTGCAAATTTGTGGGCGTTGGAGTAGTTGCTGCTGTCATGTGATGTGCGTTTGCTGTACCTCGTTCGTTTTATACAGATTACAAAACCAAAAAACTTTTGTTTTGAAGTGTAATGGGTTCATTTAAAAGCACAGACTTCAAACTTCATTTGGATGTTTTTCTTATTTCTGTGAACAAGTATTCGCTGAGATTCCAGTGTGTTTGTTGACCACATAAACTGACGTAAAAGCACACGTCTTGTCTGAGCTTTTCCCCCGGAGAAACGTCAGTCTATAGCACAGGTGTCAAACTCAGTTCCAAAAGCGCCGCAGCTCTGCACAGTTTAGTTCCAACCCTAATTAAACACACCTGATCAAACTAATTGAGTCCTTCAGGCTTGTTTGAAACCTACAGGTAAGTGTGTTGGAGCAGGGTTGGAACTAAACTGTGCAGGGCTTCGGCCCTCCAGGAATTGAGTTTGACACCCCTGGTCTATAGCAATATGATTGGCTCCTTTACTAGCAGACAGGGCTTCATTCGCCATATTGACCTTTACACTTGTACTCATTTAGAACTATACGAGTGACATGTCTTGTGTATTCTATATTCTTTGCCCATACACGGAATTGTGTTCTGCATGTAACCTGTCCAAGTGCACACACACAGCAGTGAACACACATACCCTGCGCAGTGGGGAGCCATTGTTGGGGGATCATTGCCTTTTTCACCACTAAAAATCCCTGCCAGGCTCGAACCTGTGACCTTTAACCTTTAAGCCGTAACCTTTGTGACCGTCAAACTCTTTAACCATTAGGCCATAACTGCATCAAATTTAATGCCGAGTAAAGTGTGTTGGACCAGTGGCTTACTTAGTGCACAAAATTCTGTCTAATCTAGAAATGGAGCAAGTTATTTGCTTCAAACCAAAGTTTATGATGTTGTGATTCTCAACATTAGTTTAATAGCTATAGCATTTTAATCATATTGGGCAAAATAAATGGGAAAACTTCTTTCGCAACCAACACTGCTGAAAAACTACCCAAACACTAATGTACATACAGTATATACAGTAACATTTGGAGTTGATAAAAATGTTTTTTAAGACAAAAATGGTTCAGTAGTTTTAGGACAACTTTGACAGAAGGGTTGGCTACTGTTGACTACTCCAGTGATTCCCAACCCTGTTCCCGAAGGCCACCAACAGTACACATTTTCAACCTCTTTCTTTCTAAAACCCACCTGAATCAACTTATCAGAACATAAGCAGAGACTCCAAAACCTGAAGTTAATGGGTCAGATAAGGGAGACATCCTAAATATGTACTGTTGGTGTGCCTATGGGAATAGGGTTGGGAAACACGGATATACTGTGTTTAATTATTTACCGTGTCCAAGTTAAAGCTCATATTTTGACATTTCCCAGTTGAGAGATCTCAATAAATCTCAACGCAACATTTTTT